GACCACACTGACACGGAATAACGTACACTGACCACTACAGTTACAACTGACCACAACAGTTACAAGAACTACCACAGTGCGCTGACCCCACAGTAACAACTGAACCTACACGTGACACTGACAACAACATGACAACGGAACCTACCACTGGAAACTGACACAACATGACACGACCTACACAGTTAAACTGACCACACTTACAACGAACCCAGTACAAGACCACACAGTGACACGAACCCCACAGTACAACGAACTAACGTGCAACTGAACCAACACATACACGAACCACCACGGACAATAACCAACACAGTGACAACGGAACTACACGTGACACGAACAACCGTGACACGGAACCACACAGTACACTAACCCACAGTACAACTGAACCACAACATACACGGAACCTACCACAGTACAACGACCAACCACGTGACAACGGAACACCACGTGACCTGACCCACGTGACAATGAACCAACACAGTGACAACGACTACACGTCACTGAACCACACAGTACACGAACCACAACAGTCAACGAACCCAACAGTTAACTGAACCCACACAGTTACAACGGACCTACACATTACACTGAACCCACACAGTTACAACGGAACCTACACAGTGACAACGACACCACAGTGACACGAACTACACAGTACCTGAACCCACACAGTTACAACGACTACCAAGTGACAACTGAACCAACCACAGTGACACGGAACTACACAGTTACAACTGAACCCACACAGTTACAACGGAACTACACAGTGACAACTGAACCAACCACAGTTACGACTGGGAACAACCACAGTGACAACTGACCAACCACAGTGACAACGGAACCTACCACAGTGACAACTGAACCCAACCACTGTGACGACGGAACCCTACCACAGTGACAACTGAACCAACAACAGTGACAACGGAACCTACAACAGTTACAACTGAACCTACCACAGTGACGACTGAACCAACCACAGTGACAACTGAACCAACCACAGTGACAACTGTGCCTACCACAGTAACACCGGAACCTACCACAGTGACGGCTGAAACCAACCACAGTAACAACTGAAACCAACCACAGTGACAACTGAACCAACCACAGTGACAACTGAGCCTTACCACAGTAACAACTGAACCAACCACAGTGACAACGGGAACCTACCACAGTGACAATGGAACCTACACAGTGACGACTGAACCAACCACAGTAAAAACTGAACCAACCACAGTGACAACTGAACCAACCACTGTGACGACTGAAACCAACCACAGTGACAACTGAACCAACCACAGTGACAACTGTGCCTACCACAGTAACAACGGAACCTACCACAGTGACGACTGAACCAACCACAGTAACAACTGAACCAACCACAGTGACAACTGAACCAACCACAGTGACAACTGAGCCTACCACAGTAACAACTGAACCAACCACAGTGACAACGGAACCTACCACAGTGACAATGGAACCTACCACAGTGACGACTGAACCAACCACAGTAACAACTGAACCAACCACAGTGACAACTGAACCAACCACTGTGACGACGGAACCTACAACAGTTACAACTGAACCCACTACAGTTACAACTGAACCCACAACAGTTACAACGGAACCTACAACAGTTACAACTGAACCCACCACAGTTACAACGGAACCTACCACAGTGACAACTGAACCAACCACAGTGACAACGGAACCTACAACAGTTACAACTGAACCCACCACTGTGACGACGGAACCTACAACAGTTACAACTGAACCCACTACAGTTACAACTGAACCCACAACAGTTACAACGGAACCTACCACAGTGGCGACTGAACCAACCACAGTAACAACTGAACCTACCACAGTGACAACTGAACCAACAACAGTGACAACGGAACCTACCACTGTGACAACTGAACCAACAACAGTGACAACGGAACCTACAACAGTTACAACTGAACCCACCACAGTTACAACGGAACCTACCACAGTGACAACTGAACCAACCACAGTGACAACGGAACCTACCACAGTCACAACGGAACCTACAACAGTGACAACTGAACCAACCACAGTTACGACTGAACCAACCACAGTGACAACTGAACCAACCACAGTGACAACGGAACCTACCACAGTGACAACTGAACCAACCACTGTGACGACGGAACCTACCACAGTGAAAACTGAACCAACAACAGTGACAACGGAACCTACAACAGTTACAACTGAACCTACCACAGTGACGACTGAACCAACCACAGTGACAACTGAACCAACCACAGTGACAACTGTGCCTACCACAGTAACAACGGAACCTACCACAGTGACGACTGAACCAACCACAGTAACAACTGAACCAACCACAGTGACAACTGAACCAACCACAGTGACAACTGAGCCTACCACAGTAACAACTGAACCAACCACAGTGACAACGGAACCTACCACAGTGACAATGGAACCTACCACAGTGACGACTGAACCAACCACAGTAAAAACTGAACCAACCACAGTGACAACTGAACCAACCACTGTGACGACTGAACCAACCACAGTGACAACTGAACCAACCACAGTGACAACTGTGCCTACCACAGTAACAACGGAACCTACCACAGTGACGACTGAACCAACCACAGTGACAACTGAACCAACCACAGTGACAACTGAACCAACCACAGTGACAACGGAACCTACCACAGTGACAATGGAACCTACCACAGTGACGACTGAACCAACCACAGTAACAACTGAACCAACCACAGTGACAACTGAACCAACCACTGTGACGACGGAACCTACAACAGTTACAACTGAACCCACTACAGTTACAACTGAACCCACAACAGTTACAACGGAACCTACAACAGTTACAACTGAACCCACCACAGTTACAACGGAACCTACCACAGTGACAACTGAACCAACCACAGTGACAACGGAACCTACAACAGTTACAACTGAACCCACCACTGTGACGACGGAACCTACAACAGTTACAACTGAACCCACTACAGTTACAACTGAACCCACAACAGTTACAACGGAACCTACCACAGTGGCGACTGAACCAACCACAGTAACAACTGAACCTACCACAGTGACAACTGAACCAACAACAGTGACAACGGAACCTACCACTGTGACAACTGAACCAACAACAGTGACAACGGAACCTACAACAGTTACAACTGAACCCACCACAGTTACAACTGAACCCACCACAGTAACAACTGAACCAACCACAGTGACAACTGAACCAACCACAGTGACAACTGAACCTACCACAGTAACAACTGAACCAACCACAGTGACAACGGAACCTACCACAGTAACAACTGAACCAACAACAGTGACAACGGAACCTACCACTGTGACAACTGAACCAACAACAGTGACAACGGAACCTACAACAGTTACAACTGAACCCACTACAGTTACAACTGAACCCACAACAGTTACAACGGAACCTACAACAGTTACAACTGAACCCACCACAGTTACAACGGAACCTACCACAGTGACAACTGAACCAACCACAGTGACAACGGAACCTACAACAGTTACAACTGAACCCACCACAGTTACAACGGAACCTACCACAGTGACAACTGAACCAACCACAGTGACAACGGAACCTACAACAGTTACAACTGAACCCACCACAGTTACAACGGAACCTACCACAGTGACAACTGAACCAACCACAGTGACAACGGAACCTACAACAGTTACAACTGAACCTACCACAGTGACGACTGAACCAACCACAGTGACAACTGAACCAACCACAGTGACAACTGTGCCTACCACAGTAACAACGGAACCTACCACAGTGACGACTGAACCAACCACAGTAACAACTGAACCAACCACAGTGACAACTGAACCAACCACAGTGACAACTGAGCCTACCACAGTAACAACTGAACCAACCACAGTGACAACGGAACCTACCACAGTGACAATGGAACCTACCACAGTGACGACTGAACCAACCACAGTAACAACTGAACCAACCACAGTGACAACTGAACCAACCACTGTGACGACGGAACCTACCACAGTGACAACTGAACCAACAACAGTGACATCGGAACCTACCACAGTGACCACGGAACCTACAACAGTGACAACTGAACCAACCACAGTTACGACTGAACCAACCACAGTGACAACTGAACCAACCACAGTGACAACGGAACCTACCATAGTGACAACTGAACCAACCACTGTGACGACGGAACCTACCACAGTGACAAATGAACCAACAACAGTGACAACGGAACCTACAACAGTTACAACTGAACCCACCACAGTTACAACGGAACCTACCACTGTGACGACGGAACCTACCACAGTGACAACTGAACCAACCACTGTGACGACGGAACCTACCACAGTGACAACTGAACCAACTACAGTGACAACTGTGCCTACCACAGTAACCACGGAATCAACCACAGTGACAACTGAACCAACCACTGTGACGACGGAACCTACCACAGTGACAACTGAACCAACAACAGTGACAACGGAACCTACAACAGTTACAACTGAACCCACCACAGTTACAACGGAACCTACCACTGTGACGACGGAACCTACCACAGTGACAACTGAACCAACCACTATGACGACGGAACCTACCACAGTGACAACTGAACCAACCACAGTGACAACTGTGCCTACCACAGTAACCACGGAATCAACCACAGTGACAACTGAACCAACCACAGTCACAACAGAACATCCAACAGTTACAACAGAACCGCCGACAATGACAACTGAACCTTCTACACAGACATCCGACGAAACTTCAACTACAGAAAGTAGTTATCCAAGCACAGACAGTACTACAAGTGAATTAAATACAGAAGCTGAGGCTACGGTTACAACAGAAGGAACTGTAGCCCCACAACCAATCTGTCCTCCAGGATTTTGGGGCAATGTGCCACATCCAGAGCGATGTAACGCATTTTACATGTGCGTTGCAGGCACTCCAATGATCAGGGAGTGTACTGCAGGTACTGAATTTAATCCCGAAACACAGGTAAGAAGCTCAATATTTATCTTAGTGGTGAACGCATATCGTAAATAATAACGCACAGACTTGGTAAAAATCCTGATAGCGAGGTTAGCATTTTTACCAAATCTCTGCGTTATTTTTATTATTTTAGTTAATTCAATCCAATTTCTCTAATAAATATGTACATTATGTGACTGCATATTCGTCCATATTCACATTAAAGTCTTTTTACATGCCTCCACCTCGTTGACTACTGGTAGAAGAAGGCTGGTAGACCAGTAATGACACTTTGTCTTACATAACAAACTTTTTTATTTATTTTTCCATATGCTTCGAAATGGAAGCCTTGTGCCTGCTTGAAATGGAAGCTTGTATAACGAAACTTTCCTACTCAACTGAACTATTAACATGATATAAAATTTCAGTCCTGTGTGCCCATCGCCGAAGGAGGTTGTACACTGGGACCAGCTACAACAACTACAGTTGCTACTACTATACAGGAATCTTCAGAAATAACCACAGAAAACGAACGTTTAAGTACTACGGAATCAATACCTACGGTTTCTGCAGAAACGTCTACTGTACCAACAACCGAAGAAACTTCCGTAATCACGGATGTACCAACAACCGTAGCTGATCTAACATCGTCAACTGTAGTCTCCACAGAAACAACAGAAAAAACGTCAACTACAGAAAGTAGTTCATCAAGTACAGACAGTACTCCATCTGAAGTGAGTACAGATGCTGCGACTACGATTACCACAGAAGGTACTGAAGCTCCTCAACCAATCTGTCCTCCAGGATTTTGGGGCAATGTACCACACCCAGAGCGATGTAACGCATTTTACATGTGTGTCGCAGGTACTCCCATGATGAGGGAATGTACGGCAGGAACTGAATTTAGTGCCGAAACACAGGTAAGAACAGAGACTCATCAGAATCCTCATTACGACTGTCCCTTATTGTTAGAATTTTATTAATGACATACATAGTCCAACTCCAAGTCCGTAAATGCTAAGGTTTCTTTTGTAATGGTTAAATATTGCAAATCACCAGCATTTATTGCTTTGTGGATGACGCCCTTTACATCGGCTGAGGTAACATGTCTCGGGTAAATGTCATCGAGATCCGAACCAAACTTATCTTTTAGGAATCCGAAACCGACGACAAACTCTATAACAAGTATTCACTGGTCAAACATCTGATTTATCGATTCTTCCGGACTGATTTTCTGGAACTCCAATTTTAAAGACGATTAATAACGCTCTATCCTCTGTACTTCTTACTTAATAGCGGAAGCCCTATATTAAATCCCAATATTTTCTGACTGCTCCAAAACGGAACCATGTGTTTGTGGCCTAAATATAAGTTTCTTTAACAAAAGTTATGTAGGCTTAGTTAATATCGATAGCCTAACTTGGTATATTTAACTTTAGAAAACATTTCGTTATAGTTCTATTAGGCCAAACTTCCATTTCCATTTTTTGCTTTGCACAAATAACCTTAATAACAAATTCTCGTTTATGGACCAGTATAATCTTTACACCTACAAGAAAGAAGCGCACTCTCTCTTCAAAAGCCAATATCACTATTTTGAATCTCGACCTTGACTCTGCAGATTGCTCAACGAGAGCTGCAGTTTTCATAAGCAGCGGTAGTCACAAATTATTAGGTGACCTACCAAATAATTAATTTCAAGTTATAAAATATTTAACCTTTCATTAAGTTTGCAATAGTTCTGTATGATTCAGTTACTTTAAGTTTAATTAAAGGTTTTTGATGATTGTCCATTCAGAGGTAATACTACTTACTTACTAAACTACTAAAACTTGTATTTGCTCAAAGACTGTACACTCTATTAACACGTTATAAAATTTCAGTCTTGTGTACCCATCGCTGAAGGAGGATGTACACTCGGACCCGCTACAACAACTACGGATGCTACTACTACACAGGAATCTTCAGAAATTACCACAGAAAGGGACATTATCCCAGACGATGAAATAACAACTACTGAATATCCTACCACAGAAAACGATCGTTTAAGTACTACAGAATCAATACCTACAGTTTCTGAAGAAACGTCTACTGAATCAGTACCAACAACCGAAGAAACACCAGTAAATACGGATGTACCAACAACTGTTTCTGATCTAACATCGTCAACTGCATCATCTACAGAAACATCAGATGGAACGTCAACTACAGAAAGTAGTTCTCCTAGTACAGAGAGTACTACAACTGAAGTGCATACAGATGCTGAGACTACGGGTACCTCAGAAGGTATTTCAGAAATTACTGAAGCTCCTCAATTAATCTGTCCGCCAGGGTTTTGGGGAAGCGTGCCACATCCAGAGCGATGCAACGAATATTACATGTGTGTCGCAGGTACTCCGATGCCGAGGGAATGTACGGCCGGAACTGAATTCGATCCCGAAACAGAGGTAAGAAGACAGCAAATAAACTTAATAATTAAAGCGTACCGTACTCGCTGTCAGGATCCTTACTATGATTGTCCCTTATTATTATAATTCTTAAACATTACACACATAGCCCCACTCCAAGTTAGTAAATGCTAAGATATCTTCTACATATCAGTGACATTATGTTGTAAATAATAAGTATTAAGTGGAAGACGTCCTTTACACAGGTCGATGACCGCTTCTCGGGAAATAGTAAAAAATTTTTGAAGAACCAATTCATTTTCGTCTTTCAATTACTATCTCTTCCGCCGATTGCTCTCGAAGGATTCCGAAACCGACCACAATCCCTATACCAAGTATTTACTGCTGGCCGGTGAACACTAATATAGTTGTTCTTGTATACCAGACTTATCGATTCTTCTGTAGTGACTTTCTGGAACTAGAATTTTTAAAGACGAGTAATGGCGCTCTATCACACACACACACATCACATCATCAGCCTTTCGCAGTCCACTGCTGGACATAGGCCTCTCCCATTGCATGCCACTTAGGTTGATTTTGGGCTTCTCGCTCTATCCTCTGTACTATTTACTCCATGACGAAAGTCCCATTTCCAACACAATTTTTTATGCATGCTCCAAAGTGGAAGCTTGTTCTTGTGTTTTAGACACAAGAACAAGCTTCCACGTAAGTTTTATTAACAAAAGTTTCAAAGTAGGATGGTCTTAAATGAATTCGGTATATTTAACTTTAGATAACTTTCCGTTATCGTTTCTTTGAACCAAACCTCCATTCCCATCACTCCGATGGTTCACACTTCAACACTATCAGCTTTCCTAGAATTTTTTGCTTTGCACAACTAACCTGGGTAACAAATTGCAATGTACAGGCCGATAAGACTTTCAAACGTTCAAGGATAAAGCGCACTCCCTCCTCAAAAGCTAGTATCACTATTTTGAATCTCGACCTTGACTCTGCAGATTGCTCAACGAGAGCTGCAGTTATATTAAGTTGTAATGATTTGATGACCTATCATAATATAATTACTTTCAATTTATAAAATATTTAACTTTTCATTAAGTTTGCAATAGTTCTGTATCATTAGGTTACTTTAAGTTTAATCAAAGGTTTTTGATGATTGTCCATTCAGAGGCACTACTACTTAATTGCTTACTAAACTTCTCCTACTTATATTTGCTCAAAGACTATACACTCTATTAACACGTTATAAAATTTCAGTCTTGTGTACCCATCGCTGAAGGAGGATGTACACTCGGACCCGCTACAACAACTACGGATGCTACTACTGTACAGGAATCTTCAGAAATTACCACAGAAAGGGACATTATCCCAGACGATGAAATATCAACTACTGAATTTCTTACCACTGAAAACGATCGTTTAAGTACTACGGCATCAATACCTACAGTTTCTGAAGAGACGTCTACTGAATCAGTACCAACAACCGAAGAAACACCAGTAAATACGGATGTACCAACAACTGTTGCTGATCTAACATCGTCAACTGCAGCATCTACAGAAACATCAGATGGAACGTCAACTACAGAAAGTGGTTCTCCTAGTACAGAGAGTACTACAACTGAAGTGAATACAGATGCTGAGACTACGGCTTTCCCAGAAGGAACTACAGAGGTTACTGAAGCTCCTCAATTAATCTGTCCGCCAGGATTTTGGGGCAGCGTGCCACATCCAGAGCGATGCACCGAATTTTATATGTGCGTCGCAGGTACTCCAATGCCGAGGGAATGTACGGCCGGAACTGAATTCAATCCCGAAACAGAGGTAAGAAGACAGTAAATAAACTGAATAATTAAAGCGTACCGTACTCGCTGTCAGGATCCTTACTAGGATTGTCCCTTATTATTATAATTCTTAAACATTACATACATAGCCCCACTCCAAGTTTGTAAATGCTAAGATATATTCCACATATCAGTGAAAATATGTTGCAAATAATAAGTATTATATAGAAGACGTCCTTTACACCGGTCGATTACCCACTTCTCGGGAAATAATAAAAAAATGATCAAGAACCAATTAATTTTCGTCTTTCAACTTCCGCCGGTGGATCTCGAAGGATTCCGAAACCGACCACAATCCCTATGCCAAGTATTCACTGCTGGCCGGTGAATACTAGTTGTTCTTGTATACTAGAGTTATCGATTCTTCTGTACTGACTTTCTGAACTAGAATTTTTAAAGACGAGTAATGGCGCTCTATCACACACACACATCACATCATAAGCCTTTCGCAGTCCACTGCTGGACATAGGCCTCTCCCATTGCACGCCACTTAGATCGATTTTGGGCTTCTCGCTCTATCCTCTGTACTATTTACTCCATGACGAAAGTCCCATTTTCAACTCATTTTTTTTTTGGATGCTCCAAAGTGGAAGCTTGTTCTTGTGTCTAAAATCTAAGTTTTGTTAACAAAAGTTTCAAAGTTGGATGGTCTTAAATGAATTCGGTATATTTAACTTTAAATAAGTTTCCGTTATCGTTCCTTTACACCAAACCTCCATTCCCATCACTCCGATGGTTCACACTTCAACACTATCAGCTTTCCTAGAATTTTTTGCTTTGCACAACTAAAATGGGTAACAAATTGCAATGTACAGACCGATAAGACTTTCAAACGTTCAAGGATAAAGCGCACTCCCTCCTCAAAAGCCAGGATCACTATTTTGAATCTCGACCTTGACTCTGCAGATTGCTCAACGAGAGCTGCAGTTTTATTAAGTTGTAATGATTTGATGACCTGTCATAATATAATTACTTTCAATTTATAAAATATTTAACTTTTCATTAAGTTTGCAATAGTTCTGTATCATTCGGTTACTTTAAGTTTAATCACAGGTTTTTGATGATTGACCATTCAGAGGTATCACTACTTTTTTACTCACTAAACTACTACTACTTGTATTTGCTCAAAGACTATATTCACTCTATTAACACGTTATAAAATTCCAGTCTTGTGTACCCATCGCTGAAGGAGGATGTACACTCGGACCCGCTACAACAACTACGGATGCTACTACTGTACAGGAATCTTCAGAAATTACCACAGAAAGGGACATTATCCAAGACGATGAAATATCAACTACTGAATATCTTACCACTGAAAACGATCGTTTAAGTACTACGGAATCAATACCTACAGTTTCTGAAGAGACGTCTACTGAATCAGTACCAACAACCGAAGAAACACCAGTAAATACGTATGTACCAACAACTGTTTCTGATCTAACATCGTCAACTGCAGCATCTACAGAAACATCAGATGGAACGTCAACTACAGAAAGTAGTTCTCCTAGTACAGAGAGTACTACAACTGAAGTGAATACAGATGCTGAGACTACGGGTACCTCAGAAGGTACTACAGAAGTTACTGAAGCTCCTCAATTAATCTGTCCGCCAGGATTTTGGGGCAGCGTGCCACATCCAGAGCGATGCACCGAATTTTACATGTGTGTCGCAGGTACTCCAATGCCGAGGGAATGTACGGCCGGAACTGAATTCAATCCCGAAACAGAGGTAAGTAGATATAATAATCAACATATGATGCAACACATGACTGCACGGATGGCGTAGTGGTTTTAGCGGTCCCCACACCGATTCCTACTGCGCTGAGCGTTGTGGGTTCGGTCCCCACATGGGACGACACTTTGTGTCATCCATATATTGTTGTTCTGAGTCTCGGTATTCTTTGTGTCCGTTTCATCTATGTTTGTAAAGTCCCCCGCGACACAGGATATATTCCTAATGCGGAAATTGTATTTTAAAAAGAAAAAAAAGAGAACATAAGGATTAAAGAGTATGTACTGACTATGTCAGGCAGCCATACTCACCAAGCCTGTCCCTTCTTATTGTAATTTTAAGTTATACCTACATGGCTATCTGAGAGTTAGAGCACTACCATGCAATGAATCAAGTCATCATTCAAACAATATAAATTACTACTTACTTACTCACTAAACTACTACTACTTGTATTTGCTCAAAGACTATATACACTCTTTTAACACGTCATAAAATTTCAGTCTTGTGTACCCATCGCTGAAGGAGGATGTACACTCGGACGCGCTACAACAACTACGGATGCTACTACTGTACAGGAATCTTCAGAAATTACCACAGAAAGGGACATTATCCAAGACGATGAAATATCAACTACTGAATACCTTACCACAGAAAACGATCGTTTAAGTACTACGGAATCAATACCTACGGTTTCTGAAGAGACGTCTACTGAATCAGTACCAACAACCGAAGAAACACCAGTAAATACGGATGTACCAACAACTGTTTCTGATCTAACATCGTCAACTGTAGTATATACAGAACCGCCAGACGAAATATTCTCACAAAATCCTAGTACAGAGAGTACTACAACTGAAGTGAATACAGATGCTGAGACTACGGGTACATCAGAAGGTACTTCAGAAGTTACTGAAGCTCCTCAATTAATCTGTCCGCCAGGGTTTTGGGGAAGCGTGCCACATCCAGAGCGATGCAACGAATATTACATGTGTGTCGCAGGTACTCCGATGCCGAGAGAATGTACAGCCGGAACTGAATTCAATCCCGAAACAGAGGTAAGAAGACAGCAAATAAACTTAATAATTAAAGCGTACCGTACTCGCTATCAGGATCCTTGCTATGATTGTCCCTTATTATTAAAATTCTTATACATTACATACATAGCCCCACTCCAAGTTTGTAAATGCTAAGATATCTTCTACATATCAGTGACAATATGTTGCAAATAATAAGGATTATGTGGAAGACGTCCTTTACACCGATCGATTGACCACTTCTCGGGAAGTAGTGAAAAAATTATGAAGAACCAATTCATTTTCGTCTTTCAATTACTATCTCTTCCGCCGATTGTTCTCGAAGGATTCCGAAACCGACCACAATCCCTATACCAAGTATTTACTGCTGGCCGGCGAATACTAATATAGTTGTTCTTGTATACCAGACTTATCGATTCTTCTGTAGTGACTTTCTGGAACTAGAATTTTTGGAACGAAGTTCCTTATCGCGTGTTGTGAAAGGGGGCTAGACAAAAAAAAAATTCACGAAAAGTTGTAACGACACTTTTTATGTCAGTCATTCAGCGCCATCTATCGAATAGACAGGAAATCATTTCTCAAGGAGATTTTACAAATGTATAAATTGTTTTAATTAGAAACCAACTGAAAAATATGTAGGTAATAGCCGCTTTCAAGATGGCATTGTAATTAAAATCTTGTCGAATCAGTTTTACTCGATCGTCACAACTTCGCTCCTATCGGGTGTCCCACGACACCACACGGCTTTTTAAAGACGAGTAATGGCGCTCTATCAAACCCACACATTACATCATCAGCCTTTCGCAGTCCACCGCTGGACATAGGCCTCTCCCATTGCACGCCACTTAGATCGATTTTGGGCTTCTCGCTCTGTCCTCTGTACTATTTACTCCATGATGAAAGTCCCATTTCCAACACAATTTTTTGTGCATGCTCCAAAGTGGAAGCTTGTTCTTTTGTCTAAAATCTAAGTTTTATTAACAAAAGTTTCAAAGTTGGATGGTCTTAAATGAATTCGGTATATTTAACTTTAGATAACTTTCCGTTATCGTTTCTTTGGACCAAACCTCCATTCCCATCACTCCGATGGTTCACACTTCAACACTATGAGCTTTCCTAGATTTTTTTGCTTTGCACAACTAACCTGGGTAACAAATTGCAATTTACAGACCGATTTGACTTTCAAACCTGCAAGGATAAAGCGCACTTCCTTCTCAAAAGCTAGTATCACTATTTTGAATCTCGACCTTGACTCTGCAGACTGCTCAACGAGAGCTGCAGTTTTAATAAGTTGTAATGATTAGGTGACCTGTCATATAATTACTTTCAATTTATAAAATATTTAACTTTTCAGTAAATTTGGAATAATTCTGTATCATTAGGTTATTTTAAGTTTAATCAAAGGTTTTTGATGATTGTCCATTCAGAGGCACTGCTACTTAATTGCTTACTAAACTTCTCCTACTTATATTTGCTCAAAGACTATACACTCTATTAACATGTTATAAAATTCCAGTCTTGTGTACCCATCGCTGAAGGAGGATGTACACTCGGACCCGCTACAACAACTACGGATGCTACTACTGTACAGGAATCTTCAGAAATTACCACAGAAAGGGACATTATCCCAGACGATGAAATATCAACTACTGAATATCTTACCACTGAAAACGATCGTTTAAGTACTACGGAATCAATACCTACAGTTTCTGAAGAGACGTCTACTCAATCAGAACCACGAACTGAAGAACCATTAGAAAACACGAATGCACCAACAACTGCTGCTGACCTGACATCGTCAACTGTAGTATATACAGAACCGCCAGACGAAATATTCTCACAAACTCCTAGTACAGAGAGCACTACAACTGAAGTGAATACAGATGCTGAGACTACGGGTACATCAGAAGGTACTTCAGAAGTTACTGAAGCTCCTCCATCAATCTGTCCGCCATTGTATTGGGGCAGTGTGGCACATCCAGAGCGATGCGATGCATTTTATATGTGTGTCGCAGGTGTTCCCATGCTAAGGGAATGTACTGCGGGCACTGAATTTAATAACGCAACTCAGGTAAGAAACTAAATTACAAAGTTAAGTATTCAAAAGTATCGTTCTCGCTATCAGTATTCTTATCCCTTATTTTCATAATGTTTTGTTATGATATATTGAATGGACAGAAATGCCATGATATTTATTTTATTTTATTTTTAACTTTTTGCACAAGTACATGCATCGGCGGACTTAATGCCTAAGGCATTCTCTGCCAGTCGACCGATGATGATATGCATCGCTTCAGACAAAATAAACCAAATCAAAATCGTTCTATTCTTTTTGAAGCCTTACTACCACAGGCAGGTACACAGATATCCACACGCCATCCAAAAGTGATGTTAAATGTTAAATTTGGACATTTCACATCACTTTTAAAATCTCCATCTTTATTATAGGCTGTGTCTCAAGAAATTATTCGGACTTATAGGTTTTTGCTGGCTTTGCGCTAGTGCTCAGTTGGATAGAACTTCTATTCCTATCACCTGGATAATTGGATTGCACCAAATATGTGTATGATCTGCAAATATTTGTTTTACAAAAAACAAGTAAATAAGTTTTTTATCAGTGAATCTAGCTTTCATAGTAAAAGCTCTGCTTAGTTTGAAACTAGATGGCGTTGTGTGTCAGATGTCCGAAAATATTATTATCTTACATATCTTAATTAACACTCCTCCATTAGTAATTTTTTTTATTTCGTTTGCAACACAATATCACCCAGTAACTTTAAGGTCGCTTTCAGTGTAATATTTATGAGAATCGTTAGAGGAACTAGAAGTAAAAGAAGTACAAAATAAATCACATTTACATTCAAATTTTCAGTCCTGTGTGGACATCTCTGAAGGAGGATGTACACTCCAACTCACTACAATAGCTACGGATGCTACTACTATACAAGAATCCTTAAAAATAACTACAGATGTGCCTAACAATATCAATGACGATAACGCTTCAATCACTGAAAACGCTACAAGAGAAAACGACATTACTGCATCTGAAGTGAGCACAGATACTGGAACTACGACTTCAACAGAAGGTTCCAAAGCCTCTCAACCAATCTGTCCTCCAGGATTCTGGGGCAATGTGCCAAATCCTGAGAGATGCAACGCATTTTACATGTGCGTCGCAGGCACTCCCATGCCGAGGGAATGTACGGCAGGAACTGAATTTAATCCCGAAACAGAGGTAAGATCATAAATAATATGTTTCGTAATTTCATACTTACTACTCGCATTTTCGCTAAGAAAGTCGTCATTCTTAATAATAATCAAAACTACGTCTTTACCGTCTACTCTACGTCACAACTACCAACCACTAAAATACCATCATCTTAATACTTAAAGTAAAGTCAGTTTATTAAAACCATACCACCAGCTTCGAAGAACGCAGGTAAAACTAATTAGAACTGCCAGTTTATAATAATAAAAAAAAAATGAATGGAAAGTAAGAAAACCAACTTAACATTTTTGTATGTATTTATAGAAATTTTTACTAAAGTTACCTAAATATAGTCAGAAAATTAAATAGAAAGTAAAATAGTGTTAACATTTGAAGCAATACCTACTCCAATTTCAAAGTCTTTAGTTCTTTGAGTCAATACTGCCTCGAACAAATTACACAGTCTATAGAGTTTTTTTAACTTATAAAATCGTGATGACTCCTCTATAAAGCTTGTTTTAAATTTCAGAACTGTGAGACAATCGCAGAAGGAGGATGTACACTCGGATCCGCTACGGTAGCTACTGATACCACTACTGAACAGGAATCTTCTGAAAGGGATATTGTCAATGACGATGAAAATTTAAGTAATGAACATGCAACCCCTGAACCAATCTGTCCTCCAGGATTTTGGGGCAATGTTCCACATCCAAAGCAATGCAACGCATATTACATGTGTGTCGCAGGTGTTCCGATGTTGAGAGAGTGTACTACAGGAACCGAATTTAGTAACGTAACACTGGTAAGAAGACAGATAACTTAAAAATTAAGACTTACCGTACTTGCTATCCGTATGGCGGATTAAGAATACGGAATGTCACTACCTTTATTCATCCCGTGGGTGTCGTAAGAGCCGACTAAGGGAACAAACTGCACAGGACAACAGCACTGCAAAAAGAAGGAAAACTTGAAACAAACCCTATACAAACCCGTCTGGTCAGCGTGGTATAGTAGGCCAAAACCTCCTTTCTTAGGAGAGGCCTATGTCCAGCAGTGGACTATTATAGGCTGTTGATGATGATGATGTACTTGCTATAAGATCATCTTGGCTGTAGCTTACGATTAGCATTTGGAATAAAATAAAGCAACGCAAAATCGTTCGTCCGGAATAGGTTAAGCGTGATAGCATAGCCTTACAAACCGTTTTTAAATAATTCTTTAGTTGAATTTTACCAACTGGTTGAGGTTAACGAAAGCCTTACCTCTCTGGTCCCGCATTAAAGGGGTCAGGTACTCCAGGGTCAGAAATTCACTTGTGGCTCCTGAGTTTTAGATTTCCGCGACATCAGCGACATCAGCGACACAAGCGACGGTAGTCAGTAACCCTCAGGTGTAAACTTAAACTTAAACTATATACTAAAGATAAACTTGACATAAACACTCTTTTTTCAGACTTGTATTCCTGCATCTGAAGGCGGATGTGTCCGACACATAAGCAATATGGACATTCACGAAGAATTGCCGTCATGCGAACCTGGTCAGATTGCTTCCGATCCTGAGAATTGTGACCAATTCTATATGTGTGCTGCTGGAGGATATCTGATGATGCATTGTAATAAGGGAGAAGAATTTGATCCTGCGATAAAGGTTTGTGTATTAACATATTAAATTCAGCCAGCCGTCTGGCCAGCGTGGTATAGTAGGCCAAAACCTCCTTACTAAGGAGAGGCCTATGTCCAGCAATAGACTGTTAAAGGCTGTTGATGATGATATTAAATTTAGGTTGAACCTCTAGGTGAGGATTAAATACCGTTTAATTTCGTAAATAATTATTAATATTCTTAAATACTTACTAAGAGATTAAACCCTTGTCCAAAGCACGCAAAAATCAAACAAATCCATTTCGTAAATTATAAAACGACCAGACAGACTCGGAATATATTTAGGTCGGTTCTTTTTAATATCTTGAAAACTAGCTATTTCCTGCGGCTGCACTCGCGTGATTATTTCTTATTTCGTAGATATTTATAACTTTCAAAATGACGACCTTACATTTACCTGTTGATCTCTTATTTTACCCCCTTACGGGTCGAATTTCCAAAACTCCGTTCTTAGCGGGTTCTTTACCATACAAAAGTCATCAGATGTCAAAATTTAAGTTTTTATCCCCAGTGGTTTATACTCTGCGCTGATGAATCAGTCAGGTCAAATAATTTTATAATTGTATAGATAAGTATCGTCGTATCTTCCGTGTGGTGACGGATTAAGAATACAGAGTGTCATCACCCCTATTCATCCCGTGGGTGTCGTAAGAGCCGACTAAGGGAGAAAACTAGACAGAACAACAGCACTGCAGAGAGAAGGAAAACTTGACACAAACCCTATACTAACACGTCTGGCCAGCGTGGTATAGTACGCCAAAACCTCCTTTCTAAGGAGAGGCTTATGTCCAGCAGTGGACTGTTAAAGGCTGTTGATAATAGATAAGTACATCACTAATGTATTGTTTTTTACAGAAATGTGCACCGATATCAGAAAATGGATGTTTCCACTCTAAGAATAACGATATTAACGACACAGACACACGTGAAAGAACCGTGGAAGTAACATATCTTGTCAAAAACCCCAAAGACAGAGCGAGAGCAATAAATGAAATGAACAAATAAATAAAATGGCAGCTAAAACGTTTAATGATCAATATTTAATATTAAGGACCACGAGTGATGCTTTAATACTTTATTATGAATTTGTTATTATTTATAAATATTGTTATTTAAAATACTAAAAAGATAGTGTGATATATTTTATTCAATATGTTTAAAAATGGAATAAATATGTTACCTTTTAAAAATTTAGTTTTATTTATGTTGTGACGACATCTATATTTCAAATAGAACAAAACACCATCGCGTAAGTAAAGTTTTCGCACAGATTGGTCTCACATGAACTTCGGGTTTTGTAGGATATCACTGTGAGTTTATTACACGCTTTATACTCGTATTAGCTTCACTTGTATGTTTGTATGTTTGTTTGTAAGCGACTCTTTTGGGATTTTGACTGACTTTAAACGGTCAGAATTCGTTCAAAAAAATAGTTTAAAAAAACTAAAAAACGCTTTTTATGGAACACCAAAGTAAAAAATAGAAAATAAATTTTAATAAATTTAAAAAGAAGCGTGGGGTGCTTTTTACTATTAACAACAGTTTTTTAGTTCTTTTCGAACTATATTTTTTTAAACTGATCTATTTCAACAATATTGTCTGACAATATTGTCTTTTTGAAAGATGAGAGAAAAAAAAAAACACTGCACGGTGTAATTCAAATGCAGTCAAATGGTATTTTATTGTGGGGAAATACTTCTGATATTCAACGTATCTTTGTGTTGCAAGAGAGAGTTATTCACGTAATTTATAAACTCAGTGAAAAGCAGTCATTGAGGGATAATTTTAAAGAAACTGGTATCATGACAGTCGCATCTCAATACATATATGAAAATATAGTGTGTGTAAAGAAAAATATTCATTTATTCACAAAGTTTAGTGACATTCATAAAATAATCACTAGAAATAAAGATAAACTCGTGTTACCAAGCACTAGACTCCCTCCCTCCCTGCTCTCTCAAAGTATCGTCGTTCCTTACCTATTTTAACTCGACTGCCGGTCATAGAAGAATTCAGCTAAACTCCTTCATAAGGGCCCACGTTGTTTTTAAATAAAATTAGATGAAGAGTAGGACTATCTTTACTAATATTATAAAGCTGGCGAATTTATTTGTTTGGTTGAACGCCCTAATCTCAGAAAGTACTGGTTCGAATTGAAAAATACTTTTAATGTTGGATAAACTATTTATCGAAGAATTCTTTAAGCTTTACAACATTACGTTACGAGCTATAGGGGCGGCGCATCAAAGGAAAATATTGTAAACATAGGGAACATTAGTTGGGACTAATCCCACCCACACGCCCACCACTGTAACTCCTGTACACCAGGATCCACAGCAGTGACCCACGAACACACCGAGTTATGACACTCGGGAAGTCCCAGGAAGAAATTAAACTGTCTTGGAACCCGCAACGAAATTAATCAGAAGAAAATTGGAGGAGTTGGAAATACAGTAAATCCACTTCCCTCCTTAGCAAAGCGGGAGACAAAATGAAGTAAAATAGGCATACACCCTTTTAAACAGGGAAGCACCACGGCCACCAAATATTACGGGTCCTACATGAGCTATATTTGATTTCTATAATATGTATGGCAGAATCGCCTAAACGCACGGAAATTCACCCTAGTTGACACAAGATCCCCATAGTATACCGCCCCAGATGTCACCTGCAAGCTATTCAGCATTATATTACGTTCATTATACCAAAGACTACATTCCCAGAGGATATGATGAGCAGACTGTTCATAATGAGAGTTAGGTGTTGAGCATTGACACAATGGTGACTCGACTAATTTAAATGAATACAACTTGCTCTTAAAGTTACCATGACCCGTAAGAAATTGAGCGACACAGTGATCTACCTCAAGCCATGTCCTCGACAACCGTTCGCGAACAGATGGAAAAAATTGGTAAAGATGGCGCCCCTTGGATGATTCGTCCCAGCGTTGCTGCCATTCGTCTATGAGGTCATTATAGACATCGGACTGCTGTTGAAGCAATCTTGTAATTTTAACGCGATCCCGCGCGCCCAAGAAATCGCATTCCATGTTTTGTCTTGAATAGTACATGGCTGCACGTCTCTGCACCTCGAGATCGACCGGAAGGACACCTGCCAACACCGGCAAAGCCTCAGTGCTAACCGTCCTATATGCCTTGCACAAAAATATCAGTGCAAGTCGTTGGCCTTGTAACAGTTTGCGACGGACAGCGCCTACGGTCGCCCTATCGGCCCATACAGGTGCACCATAGCACATAGAACCTAAATAAGTAGCTCCGTATATGATCTTTAATGTATTAAATGATAGACCCCATGTCGCAGTTGATATCCTTGTCAATGCACAGAAACTCTTTTTAGACTTTTCATTAACTATTTTAATATGTTCGATAAATGAAAAGTTTCTTTCTAAAACTAATCCTAGATAACACACTGTGGTTTTATTTTTTACAGTGACATTGTCAAATCTAATGCTCGGCGGTGATTTGAGGTTACCTTTTAAAAGTAACTGGAAGGTTTTGTTGGGTGCAAAAGTTAAGCGATTACGTTCACCCCATTGAGATATCAAGTTCAAACATCTATTGGCTAATCTCTCAAGCCCCGCCCTAGTATCAGATTCCACCAGTAATAAGCCGTCATCAGCATACGCGTTCAGAGTACATCCGGATGGTATTGGTATCGTAAGAAAATCGTCGAAGCCGATATTCCACAAGTATGGACCTAGCACCGATCCCTGAGGACATCCCATTGTAAGCGCCTTCGACACAGAATGATGACCAAGTCTTAGTTTAGTTGTACCTTGTGAAAAGTACGAACAGATAAGGGAATAAATATTTTTAAAACACCCCCGTGATTTTAATTTCAGCAACAGCATGGGCCACCATGCGTTGTCGAAGGCGCCAGATATATCTAAGAAAATAGCCAGCACGTATTGAAATTTTGACTCTGTGACAAACTTTCTAACCGATATAACAGCGTCAGTTGTCGATTTACCCAACGTAAATCCAAATTGTCTATCATGAAATTTGACTCCACCTGGCAGAAGCCGGGGCACTACAAGACGTTCTAAAAGCTTTCCTAACGATGGTAACAATGTGATTGGTCGGTAGGATTTAGGATCATCCGGTGGCTTGTCGCCACTTTTTGGTATTATACGAATATTACCGCACCGCCATATACGAGGAAATATTCCTTCAGCAATGCAACGTTTAAAGACAGTGAAAATCGTGTCACCCGAAAGTTTACAAGCTTCTTTTATCATTTTGTTAGATATTTTATCATCACCCGAAGCCTTGTTTAGCGGCAAGGATCTAATGATACCGAGAAATTCGTCTGTAGATGGTAAATCAGACATTGGAGACAGTGGTGGTTCGATGGCCCACTGCCTGATCTGTCGGTGATGATCAGTGTCGTTTTCCGGTCGATCGTCAGGTACGAGTGAGTCTAAAAGATATTCTGCTGTTTGTTCTACTCCTGTGGTATATCTGTTATTAATTTTGATGTTCTGTATGTATGCGTGGTCGATTGATCTATTTGCCTTAAATTCGTGATACAAAGGTGACCACGGGCCCTCTCTATCGAGTTTATTAACAAGTTTCTGAATTAAGTTTCCCTTGGATTTTTCCACAGCAGCTCTGTAGTGGGACCTGGCAACTCTAAGAGCAATGAGAGCAATGTTGTACAAATCTCCTGTTACGTTATGTTTTTTAATAGTGTTTAATTTTCTACGAGCTTTCCGGTAGCTTCTACGTAGTTCGGCTAGTCTATCATTCCACCAATCACATCTACGAGTGTTAGTGATAGATCCGCGACCAATAGTTACATCAGCGCAGTATGTAAAAGTTTCTGATAGTATTTCTGCGCTTTCCTCAGCTGATAAACTACTGCGACTGAAGTCTTTGGTATGAGTTGCAAAGAGTGAACCAAACAAAGCCCAGTTCGCACCTTTAGTTTTATATCTAAAATTATAGGGAGCCCTTTGTGGATCCTGTGCAACCCTTGGTGTGAATTCGTACACGATCAAGCGGTGATCACTACAGGATGCGTCCGGAAGGACACGCCATCCGGATATCGAGACGTCGCCGCGCGTAAGCGTCACGTCAATAGAAGACTCACCCATTGGGTTGCAAAAAGTTGGTGGTGCATCGGGGGTATTGTGAATAATAAGATTCATTTCCGCAATGAAATCTTCAACCGCACAACGTCGAACCGTGTCGGTTGAACGCAACTTGCCATACCATAATGAAGATGACGCATTGACATCAGCGCCAATGATAATTTTATGTCCCACGAGGAACTGCAAGACGTAACGTAAGTGATGTAAGTGAGGATCAATAGGATGTGAGTATTGAAAATAGCAGCTCACTACGTAAACCTTACAGGTAGAGGATGAGATCTCAGCAACGGCGCAGTGTGACGTCATAAGATTACGCAAAGATGTTACCGTAAAATTAGAACTTGCAACATATATCCCAGCCTGCGAACGGCAGTCAAGCTGTACTACATTACGACGCAAGCGAGCGCTCTGATATTGTTCTTGTAAAAGGACAATGTCTAACTTTTGTTCTAAAATTAAACGGTCTAATTCTGATGTAGCTATTTTATCGTTATGAAGATTTAACTGGCCTATCGAAATATTATTCATTACTAGTAAGTTACTCTTTAAACCTTTTTTTTTTTTTTTTTTTTTTTTTTTTTTTTTTTTTTAAACTAAGTTAAACTATTCAGTAATTGGTATTTAATATTAGCTGTTCCAGTTTTAATTTGTATGTGGCACAGTCGTATGAGCCGCATCGATGGTCAGATGGTTTTTTGAACCGCTTACACTGTGCGCACGTGGGCTTAAAATCTGGTGTGTCTTTATCTGGACAAGCTCGCGTTTCGTGTGCGGCGGCGCAATTAGCACAAGTAGGGGTTTTAATAGTGCAAAACTTTTGTACATGACCGAATTGCTGACAATTTAAGCAACGAACTACTTCTATATCGTCTATGAATCTACATGTGGCCCAGTCTATATAAAGTTTATCTTTTGTGTTGGCTAGATGTTTCCGAACTGCTGCCTCTAATTCTAAGCCTATCCATTGACGCCCATTTTCTAGTTTACGATGCCTAACAATTTTGGTTGACTTAATAAAATCATTCTCACTTAATTTTAATTCGTCCTTGATATTCTGACGGTATAAAGCTGTTAGGAAGGCACGATCTTCCATAGAACCGGGTACGTCTTTTACAATTATACGGGGCCTACGGCCTTTCGGTTTTTCTAAGCGCAACCCTACTGATTTAATGGCGTCCACAGATTCCAGTTTCTTAAGCTGCCGTTCGTTAGCTACACGTAACACGACGCCTGCCTTAGAGGTTTTTTTAACGCCTACAATTTGAAATCCCTCATCGCTCGGTTTAATAGCCTTCATGAGAGCTTGTTTCGTTGCTGACGAGGTCGCATAGTCCGCTAAGCGTTCCGTAGTGGGATAGGCAATAACACAAGGCCTAGGAACGCGCGCTTCAGTAGGTACCGGGCACGGAGCAGATTTAGGTGGTAATCGAAGCTTAAGTTTGTCCGCGTACGTTAAACTCGTTTGTTGAGTTGCGATACCCTCCATTTGTCGCTCAAAATTCGCTAACTTCGTTTCGTTGCTAGAGGATTTTATTGCTAACAAAGATACGATACCGGTAATTCGTTGAGTAATATCCATAATTGCCGTTTTATTACCTACATTCATCCGAGATCCCTGATCATTAACTAATTCATTGATTTTTGCCAAGTACTCGGTAGCCTGTGAGACTAACTCGCAGTAATTGTATTCCCCACAGTTATCACGACCGTTAAGAGACGAAACATTTCCACTTAAATCCGAATTATTAATTCGTTTACTTCTATTGTCTTTCGGCGAGAAATCCGTAGGTGACATTTCGTTAAATGTCCTTTTCCCGGTTGGTGTTAGAAATTCACTTGTACCGCCGGGGTCCGGCAACTCGCTAACGACCGACATAGCCAAACAAAGACACACCAAACAACAATTTCAAAAGGAACAAGTTTAAAAATAAACAATACGCAGAGAAAAATCAATATAAACAAAGGATACCTCCTACCCACTTTTAGAAATAAAATAAATTTACTCACCAATAGTCGTAATAAAATAATTTAGCACTATATTTCTGTTTAAAAAACAATAAAAACTTACTGATATTCTTTAAAACACTATACACAACCTTTAGCCGCCCGCAAACCGGGAACTAGTCGCAGAAAAACACAGAAAACAATATTTAAATTGTTAGCATATGAAGTCACACGTTAGTCGCACAGTGCCGCGAAGGGAAGAAGGGAATAGGGAACATTAAAAAAAAAAGACAACTCTCGCACTAGGAATACATCTCGTGTCGCGGGGGACTTTACAAACAGGCATGAAACGGACAGAAAGAACACCCAGACTCAGAACAACAATTTGTGGAACACATAAAGTGTTGTCTCATGTGGGGATCGAACTCACAACACTCAGCACAGTAGTAAGAGGCGAGGTGACCGCTTACACCACTACGCCATCCGTGCAGTATTTTATTTATTATTATTACATTTATACCTTTAGAGAGACGCAAATGAGGTCAGATAGTATAAAATAAACGAAATACATTTTTTTGGCCTAAAATTTATTGTCCAGTATAATTGGCTCTAAGTCCATTAAATCAGAGAAGTCACGACTAGCCTTAGGTTTTGATGGAGCTTTTTTATTAAAAGGTTCTAATAATCCAACAAATGATGGCAAAGGTAGTTTTTTTCCTAATTCCCTTTTAGCCTGTCTATGAGGAAGAGAGCCAGAAGAAGATAATTCATAACTTTTAGATTCTTGCATAACCTGATCCTCACTCATAAGTCCACTTTCTTCTATTTCGTACTTTGTGTTTGTCTCTTGTTTACTAACTCTCTTATTAACAGCTGAATTCTGGACAGTTATTTCTCCATCTGTAACATTATTTACTTTTAAAAGGTCAAAATTTTATGTTAAGCTTATCTCTTTTTGTTCATTTTCAAGGCTATTATTGTTTGATCTGAAATTATTGATAATCTGATCAAGATTTTTTGTATTTAAAAAAGGGAAAAGTAAGAAGATGTACTACCCGAAAGCAGAGGGCTTGTATAAAAAGACTATTAGGAATAGAGGTAGGATGATTGGTCGAGATCGTGGATTAGATTCAAACCCACGACAAATAATAGTGTTATGAGCGTTATTATTTATTCTGTGTCAGAGTTTTTTTTTTTGTTTTTGTTTTTTTTAAAGGACAACTCCGGCATGAGGAATATATCATGTGTAGCGGGAGACTTTACAAACATACATGAAACGGACACAAAGAACACCCAGACTCAGAACAACAATTTGTGGATCACACAAAGTGTCGTCCCATGTGGGGTTTGAACCCACAACACTCGGCGTAGTAGGAAGCTGCTTGGCGACCGCTTAAACCACAACGCCATCCGTGCAGTCAATTTAGCGGGGCTATCTATTATATGTATATAAAAACAAAACTTTCTTTCGACCTTTGATTTGGATGAATGATGATTGAAGGATAATCCTCTCAATCTAATCCAATGCAATGGGAAGTGATAACATTAACCGCCGCATGATCATTGCTATCCTCGATCTCCTTCTTCCTGTGCTTACTCGGGGATTTCTCACTCACTCCTCACTCCTCCTCCTCCTCGCTCACTCCTCTTACAAGATCCCGAATCCTATACTCCTTAATCACCTTCGCTTCATCTCCATTCCCCCCTTCCTATCTAAAGTCCACGAGGTCTGTGTAAACCAACAACTATCCCAACATATTTATCGAAATAACCTAGTAAGCCCTTTCCAATGAGGGTTCAGGCCCGGGCAAAGCACAACTTCTGCTTTGCTAAAAGTGACTGCTGACAACCGAGCAGGAATTGAGAAATCCTTAGTAAAAGTGTTGGCTTCGGTTGACTTCTCAAATACATTCAACTCCGTCAGTCGCGATATCCTTCTTTGTCTCCTGGCCTATCTTATGATTACACGTGATACTCTGGACTAGTTCTCGTCTTATCTTCGGGGGCGTCAACAATCTGTCCGCATCGATGAATCCTCTTCAGATTGGCGTGAACTCGACTGTGGCGTCCTCCATGGTGGCATTCTCTCTCTCTCCACTATTATTTTCAATATTCATCAATTTCATCACTCCGAACCTTCAATGTGCGTACCATCTTTATGCCAATGACTTGCAGCTCTATTATCCAGCCTATAGATAGATGATATAGACGGGGCCATCCTGAGGGTAAACAACGACCTGAGGGATAGCCCTCAGGTCGTTGTTTACCCGTTGCTTAATGATTGGGCTAATAGGTTTGGTTTGACTGTGAACCCAGTAAAGAGTCAAGCTTTCGTCATAGGCAGTCAACGCATGACTGGAAGGTTAGACCAAGGTAAACTGCCACCCATTTACCTTTAAAGCCAAATTAATTCGATTTAGTCCTGCTGTTAAGAACCTAGGCCTAATTAACGACACCAATCTCAGCTGGCAAACCCAGGTCACGATCGTCACCCAGAGCGTCAGATGTACGCTACGGGCTCTTTATCGGCTTAAGAAATTCCTCCCCTCCAAGACGAAAGCGATGCTTGTACAGACCCTTATTGTATCCATCTTGGATTATGGTGATGTATGCTATTATGACCTGAATGCAGATCTACTCAATAAATATGACCGCATTCTGAATAACTGCATGTGAGTCGTCTTCAACCTTCGCAAATATGACCATGTTTCCTCCTTTCATCGCGAATTGAACTGGCTCACAATTCGTCAACGTCGTCAGCTGCAGGCCCTCACCACCCTCTATTCTATTTTTAACTCGCTCATTCCCCCCTCCTACCTGACATCTTCATTCCAATATCTGTATTTCAACCACGATAGAACCCTCCGTTCATCAAATAATCCTCTTCTGCTATGCCTCACACTATCATGCAACGGACACAAAGAACACCCACACTTAGAACAATAATTTGTGGATCACGCAGTGTTGTCCTATGTGGAGATCGAACCCACAACACTCATCGCAGTAGGAAGCGGCGAGGTGACCGCTTAAGCCACTACGCTATCCATGCCGTCAAAAGTTGATTATCAGCGATCAGCAGTGCTATTCTCTAAGGAAACAGCTAAAAGCTGAAAATATGCTGCTTCAGGGCACGCACAAATATTACGGATCATATCGTAAAATAGATACACTATTCACAGTTAAAAAAGCTGATTTTATTTTATTTTTGTGAAGCATCGCAACCACTTAGTGAGGTTGTCTTTCGACAAAGGCCTCCCTCAGTTCCTTCCTCTTATCTCTATCTCGAGCTATCCTTCTCCAACCTTTCAGCAAATCATCCTCCCATCTTTTGATTTATCGTTCTCTTTGTCTTTTCCTATTTCCGGGGTACCATTCCATTACATCCTTCAAAATAGATACCTTATTCACAGTTAAAAGAGTTGATTTTTTTTGTGAAGCATCATGGAGGTATACAATTATTTTGTTTAAAGAAAATGCTCAGGTAACAATAAACACATTGCTTTAGTTGCTCGAGAAAATATTTTTTCAAAAATTTAAGAAAATTGTTTTGTAAGTAGTATATAAGTTAAAATGTGTAATATGGTCAGTGAATAAATGCTTTTATTTTATTTATATTACAATATTACCCGTTATAATTGTCCGTGCCATGCAGCAGCCATGCTTTTAGCAATTGATATCATCAAAAGCTGATTACTGATTGATATATAAACACCTTTATAATGTAATTGATATTTTAATATAAAACCAATATTTCATAAAGAAATCGATTATACAATCAGAAGGCCAATTCTCGTAATAAAAGGTATTTTCGTGTTAAAATAACAAAGTATTGCTAAGACCAGCAGATTACCGATGCAATCCTTGATCACAATACGATATAATCACATTACAGTCAACGTTTGATGTTTAATACTTTACTACGAAAATACCTTTTATGATAGTTGTGAGATCGAAAGTTGATCGGAACTGAATTGAGACCGGTTGTTGGACCGATTATACTGCCTTGTGGAACACTAAATCTGAGAAAGTGAAAACGCTTGAGTATTAAATGTCAAAAAGGAACAGATTATTATTTATTGATAATAAATTATTTCGTTACTAATACAATATTTGTTCTACCTTAAAAGTATAGTAATACTAAACTACACTACACTAAAACATTTCTACATTGTTCAGATTTATAAGAAATGTTTTATAGCCTATCTTTTTATTACAGAGTTTATAAGTTTATTATTATCTTTATTCTCGAGTGATCTCGTGAAAAGGGCCGGAAATATGTTACAGGAAGCCACGTACGAGTAATCACGCGCTTTTTGATTTGCCCAATAAACGTAATGTTACACATCATATGCGACTAAGCCTCGCTCTTTTCTTACTTTTATTTAGTATACATTGGGCTTTTGGCATTCCACATCTGCACAATTTTTACGTAAAACAAGCAATTTTATCACGTTGCATTCCAATACTTATGTATTATCACACTTTTTTATATCAATTATATTTAGGATTGATTATAATAACTAGAATCAATGGTTGAGATGTCTTATTATTTTTTGTTTCTTGTGTTAATGTAGTATTGATGGCGTTAATTATTTTCTTTCTAGCATTTTTTCCGATCCCTAGATCACTTTTATTGACTAAACTTTCTGTTGTGATTGTATCTACTAGTTCAGAATATTCTTCATTTGAAAGATTTGTATACACATAATTAGATCCAGGCTCTGTAAATTCCTTGTTGTTAACTATTATTTTTTGTCTTTGTGCATTTGCACTTCTAACATTATGAATAATACCAGTATTTATTATTGATGAAATGTCTTGAGGAAGCTCTTTGTACGTTTTATTATTTTTGCTATCATTATTACTACTTCTAATAGATTCGAAATTTGTAATTTTAGATCTTAACCGAAGAGTTTTATTAACAATATTCAATAATGACGACTCACCGATATCATCTTTTTCTTTTTCATCAGACTTTAATACTATATTCCTCTTTTTATCTACCATGGAATTACTTGTCATAATGGTTATTAAGTTATTAGAAACATTTTTACTGATATTTCCTTCAGGAAGACTGTCATTGGTATTGGTTCTGTTTACTTTGATTAGTATTGTATTTTCATGAATTGGCAGAACTACTGTTGTTTTAATATTCACTGTATTTGTAGTCTCAGTATTTAATTTTTCAGTCACATTTATTAAATCCTTTTTCATTTGTCTATTTGCTAAAATTTCATTTTTCTTTTGTTCCTTATCGATATTGGCTGTCGTATAGTTATTTGTTTTATTATTGTGAATACTTGGAATTACTAAAAGTGATTCCCTTGTTACATTGCTTTTGTTTTTGCCTTTAATCTTTTCTTTAAGTTTGATTAAAGGGTTATTATTCTTTTCTGGCTTTGTCAAAAAATCAACTATTTTTGCTGGCATTGTATTATTTTCAGAATCATGATTATCATCGCCCAAGAATTCATTATCGGCACTGGGTACAATGAGCAGTTCTAGACTATCATCTTCTTTGGACCATTTGTCTTTATCAATTGAATTGTTTAATGAATAAATTACAGAATTGTCAGCTATAGGATTTATAACAATTTTATTGCTTAAGTTAGGAATTATATTGGTTTCTTTATATTCTACTTTTATGTTATTATTTTCTATTACGTTTAATAAATCTTCTTTGTGAATCTCACTTGTGTTGGTCCGTGTGTAATTTTTTGCCTGTAAAAGAGAATAATCTTAAAATTTACGAATCCAATTTGGACAGTGGAGGCTTGGCTTTAATGTAAGTACTGTGTCAATGTATACAACAATGTAAAATACTTCATGCAATCAAAATAAAAACATACTTTAGTGTTACCTAAGGAGGAAAATTCCCATTCACAGTAGTACTAATTCTGCATCTTGCCATCTAAATTCTCAAACTTAGTACAATTTTATAGTGGTTAGGTATGATCAGGAATCTAATAACTTATATTATTTTCATTTCCCGCATCATCATCAACAGCCTTTACTAGTCCACTGCTGGACATAGGCCTCTCCTTAGGAAGGAGGTTTTGGCCTACTATACCACACTGGCCAGACGGGTTGGTATAGGGTTTGTTTCAAGTTTTCCTTCTCTCTGCAGTGCTTTCTTTTGCTTTCTTATTTCCCGCATACTATATTATAAACTAATGTTAATTTATATGGTGCAACCTAATGTTTATTGCAGTGATATATAATATCATCATCATCATCATCATCATCATGATGATGATGATGATGATATTATATATTATAAACTAATGTTAATTTATATGGTGCAACCTAATGTTTGCTGCAGTGATATATAAATGTACAAAATATATTTTCGTGTGAGTACATAGGGCGATGCAATCTGATTTCCTAACTTTTTTGAGTTATTGATTTGCAGACCAGCTGTTTCTTATTATTACTTTGTTTTTATTTTGTATTATGCTCACTAAGGTTGCGCACAAAAAACGTAACGAGGTCATTCGATCACTAAATTTTACTCTTCATATTTTTATCAAACCGGCTTTATATGAAAGTCGATTCTTAAGGAGTAAACTCCAAAAATAAGAAAAAACTAGGAATAATAATAAGTAAGATGACACAGGTTACACTTCATGTGCTGCTACTGTTGGTTATCGCTTTTGTAAACGACTTCAAAAAAAGAGATTTTGAATTCGACTGTTTTTTTGTATGTTTGTTACTTGATTTCTATTCAATTATTTGGCGATTTTCAGAACTCTTATTGTAATCAAACGGGTATGTACTCTCCAGGTGCTCCTATTATCCTGGCCGGAACTCCACCGTGGGACGCAAAGAGGCGCGAGAGTTGGGTCGGTGTCCCGAGACTCTAGAAATCGATGACCGGAAATAACAACTCCGCCAGGTCATCATAGGGGAGTGGAAGGAACGACTTGGGCACTCGAGCGCCGGGCACGCCGTCATCGCGGCGGTAAGACCCGTTATGGAGGATTGGCTGGAGAGGCGTCACGGGACCCTCTCATACCGACTGACGCAGGTGATCACTGTGAAAGGATGTTTCGGGGATCACCTGTGTCTGATCCGCAAGGAGCCAAAGCCTGAGTGCCACCACTGCGATGGCCAGACCGTGGACACGGCTCTCCACACGCTGGCAGAGTGCCCGGCGTGGGTTGCGCAGAGGCGAGACCTCGTGGCGGCCATCGGAGTGGGAGTTCTCTCGCTCGATAGCCTGATAGCGGCTATCGTGCGGAGCGAGAGTGCGTGGAACTCTGTCGTCTCATTCTGCGAGTAAGTTATGTTCGCGAAGGAGACGGCGGAGCGGGACCGGGAGAGGTTTAGGACTCTCCCGGCCCGCCAGGCCCGGGAACGGGCCAGGTACCGCAGGCGACTCAGGCGCCGGAGGTCGCAGAACGACCTCCGTCCTCCGTGACAGGTGAGGCCATCTGTCACCCTAGCAGAAGCAGGCCGGGGTGGCGGCGAGCGCGTTACGAAGCGCGCTCGCTTCCAGGGAGCACAGGGAACATGGGGTTCCCACACGGGGGGGGGGTCGTTTACTCGTCTGTAGATGACCCGAGGTATGTCGGGGTACCAGGGACTTCCTTTCTAGGGTATACTTGGTTCCCTGGCTATTAGTACCCGAGACGGCGTGCGGTTTTAGTCGGTTCGAATCCGACATGCCACCGATACGTGGTATCCGAGGGGATTTCCGCACGGAAAAAAAAAGGTGGCCATATTATCACCAAGTCATAATCTGATGATAGGATCCCAGAGACATCGTCGCAAATCTTAAAATTTATAGGCCCGACAACCTATTGGCTACAAATCAAGGAATGTAGAATACCACAATTCATAAATATGTAGAAGCACCGCGATAGCATTTTAAAAGTATTTGTGATCGTAAACTCATGTTTGATTAAAAAATTGTTGTTGTTAGTTTCATATGTTGATGTATGGACGAGTTTTTTTTCAAACATAAATTATTGTACGCAAGCTTGCAAGAAACGGAGGCATTCCCGAGAAAAAAACTATGAAAGTATTAATCTATATACAAGTTTATGCGGGACCCAGGGTGTGCAAATCAGACTCGCACTTGTCTGGATTTTTGTCTTACCTGTATCTTATCAGTACTGAAGGTGTTATTTATAATAGGTGCTATTACTAGCGGGTTGATTTCTCTCTCTGGGTTTGGTTGAAAATCTCTTGTTACAGATTGTCCAATTGAAATGATGTTGAAAAGGAAAAACAGTGGAACTGAAACCAAAATAAAATTATGTACTTTAAATAATGACGCTAAGCCGGTGGTCATGGATTCTATTCGTACTTAGGACAAATATTTAAGTAATAACGATGCTCATTTGTTCTGTGTCTAGATGTCATCATCATCATCAACAGCCTTTACTAGTCCACTGCTGGATATAGGCCTCTCCTTAGGAAGGAGGTTTTGGCCTAGTATACCACGCTGGCCACACGGGTTGTTATAGGATTAGTTTCAGGTTTTTCTTTTCTTTGCAGTGTTGTTGTCCTGCGTAGTTTGCTCCCTTAGTCGGCTCTTACGACACCCACGGGATGAATAGGGGTGGTGACACTTTGTTTTCTTAATCCGTCACCACACGGATGTAATTTATCTATAATATGTATATATTTAGGAAGATATAGAAGTATGTTTATCAGCAGTCTGATTGCCGTAATACAGGCTCTGCGTAGTTTCAGACGGCAGTGTATTAGATGTGTGAGGTTCTTATTAATTCAATGACATTGACATCTTTCGCCAATCGTTTAATGAATTTAAAACTAAAATAACAAATGTTTTGTGTTCATCTACCTTAACCCCAAACAAATGTGAATAAGATATAAAATAGATTTAGAGTAGTATTAATTCAAACAGTTTATTATTATTATTAAGTATACTAGTTTAGTTAGTTTTTTTTTCTCGTTTGGTTGTAATTAGTTTACTACTATTTACACTACTACATTACAGTAAATGCTATGTACACGTTAATTGTCATACATATCAGGTATAATGAAACATATTGTTAAAACTAGTTATAAGTATAATATGTGTGATGTGGTAGTACTTATTAATAAATAAATTCAATAAATTTGTTTTCTATTACATAAAAGTAAACAATGAAAAATAATCTAAGCATAACATAAAAAAATATTTTGTGGTACAGTGAAATTAGTCTCGAGAAATTTTTGCATATGTAGTGGTGTGTATATTACTCAGATCTTAGAGCGCGTTTCCACTATATCGTTCTGGCCTATACAAAAATGTTTCGATATCCTAACATTACTATTTAATTTTATACTTATCCCTAGCAACACTCTGATTTTTGTTTTCAATAAAAACAAGTTTTTATTTTAAAGAAAAACTTTTGACTTTATAAAAAAAAAGGTGTGTGTGCGATTAACACACGATAGAAGTGTGTTACGCACAAAACCAGAATAAACCAGTTTACGCTCTCCGTACCATACACTACTACAAACGCAAAAAATTCTCCAAGCTAATTTACCTGTAGGTTTATATTATCCTTTATTTATTTATTTACACAACTTTACTATTGTACAGCGGCGAACTTAATGCCCAGGACATTCTTAACCAGTCAACCTTTGGGTGCTGTAGAAATCTTTAATAGCAGGAGCACATAGGTTGCATTACTATTAAACTGAATTATACACTACACAACACTACATCATCATCATCAACAGCCTATAATAGTCCACTGCTGGACATAGGCCTCTCCTTAGAAAGGACGTTTACATACCTAGGAACACTACATACTTAGCACACAACCTTTACCTCTCTCAAACGCTCTATTCCTTTTCCTAATCAAAATTTCTCATTTCCCATTTCAACCATCATCCCCTTGTCCCGTCTGGAAACTATTACATTCATTACATACTAGACCAAAGGGCTATGACTTCCAGATCAACCACCAGAGCTACAGGTTACGGGTATGCGATCCTGGTCCACTCGAATTACTGCGACACTCCCCAACCCATCCGTATAACCATATCGGTTATACGGATAGGCTGGGGAGAGTCGCAGTTTCCCTTTCCTAAAATTGAATCTTAACAACCTTTCCTTTTATAATGAACTAACAATTTTTGCATCCAATTTTTCAAGTTACTTATTGGCGGTTATAAACTTTTGGTGACGGATTAAGAATACGGAGTGTGACCCCCCGTATTCATTCCGTGGGTGTCGTAAGAGTCGACTAATGGGGAAAACTACAAGATATCTACAACTCAGAGGACCTTTGCGGTGAGTGGGAATACGCTCTTTTCTTACAGGTTTGAAGATCATACCAGTCCCGCAGTACTTCAGGCGATAATTTGTTCCACAAATTGGTTGTGTGAGGCGCTTGTGACTCCTGAGTTGCACTCATTCATCAGGTAAGCATCATCAAACTCAAAGTAGACACATTGCTTATGGAAGTGGTTACATAAAAAAAGTGTCTGCTGTTTGTGCCTCTACGATAAAAAAATATAGTATATACTTACAGAAAATCGAAGAAGACGCCATTTTTGATGTTATACTCACAGTTTATAACACAGAACTAATTTAAAAAGCGGTCATTTACCGTTTTATACCATACTTACGCGGCTTTAATTCGTTCCATCTTATTTATAATTGTGAACAATGGATTCCAAATATATGTGTATATCTATATGCAATAATATTTTTATTGTTCTTTTAATCGGTATAGTTTAAAAATATAGTATAAAAAACACAAACACGAATTGGTGACGTAATGGGCGCGTTGTTTAAACCATATTGCTTTTTGGGAGTCACGATACTACGATACCACGGCGTCACAGAAAACTAATACTAAACAATTATTTTGTTATTTTTCACAGTGACTTAGATTATAATACCAGTAATAATAGTGAAAGTTGAGAAAGAAAAACCAAAAAATATATTTGGATTTATCTCACGAGATAGTCGATATGTGAAATATGGATTCGGCTATCATTGTTCCGACAGTCGTATCTGCTCACGGATTGATAGCCAAGAGCCTCGACCAACACCTTAAGAGGCTCACTTTAGACGGCTAGATCAAGTCTGATGTTGAAGGCAGTCCCCCTTGACACCCGTATAGTGAAGAGGTTCCTGTGTTTGGAGTCTTAACCACCGGTGTCTTGGTCCCTGTACCCGATGTCGTTTCAACAAACAAATTCTTTTTAATTCCCATTGTTGAATACTCCAGCTCGTTCAGTATGCTTTGCGTAGCATGAAGACTGTTGCAGCTGCTCGACTTGGCACCGACTTCAAACAGACTAGAAGGGACTATTGCTGTTATAATGTTACCTGTTATATTTTATTATATTCACAGGGGGGGTCGTCTGCCCGCCGTAGATGGCCCGAGGTACGTCGGGGCATCGGGGATTTCCTTTGTAGGGTACACCTGGTTCCCCGACTACTGGTACCTAACGGCGTGCAGTTTTAGTCGGTTCGAGTCCGACATTGCCACCGGTAAGTGGTATCCGAGGGAATTTCAATAACAAATATCTCGAAAGAATAAAACAAGATCTATACATCGCAGTCCCCGACGAACACTATAATAAATAATAAATTTATTTATTTTCAGACATTAGTCCATAGATATGTTAGTAACAGTAATCTTACAACTATGTTAGTTCTACATTAACACAAAAACAAATTTAAAAATGAATCGTGGGGATGCGCTAGCATGCAGACGCATCCACCTTTGTAGGATTGGAAGATCCCACCTCTCGGACAATACTCTCAGGATGCCATTGGTGCTGCTCAGCAGTCGATTGGACATTGACGCGCTCCGCTTCCTTATGATTGCATAAAAGTCATCGCAACGTGCCTCCGCGAACATGTTAATTACTATGGTAATCGCTATTACGATAGAATCGGGTTTATTAAATATTCGTTATCTACACACCCTATTACAATCATTGAATTTTTTTTATGATCGGGCGATGAATACTTTTGGATTTATCGCTTCAATAATGATCTTTATGTTTTTGTTCAACGTATAACATAAGTGAAAAATTTACACGATCAATAACGCAAAAACCTATTACCAACATTGATATAATACCAAATCTCAAAAGTCAATATTTTAGAGTAAGCGGCTATTACCATATTGTTCGAGGGAAAAATGACAGAATCTTATTAGTGGCAAGAGTTGGTTAAACGACACCCAAGGCCGAAAAATTCAGTGGATTGATGGAGAAATTGATGGAGGTGAGAGTTTCTCATTTGAAACCAACAATTTTACAGTATAAGTATGACTTCGACAATGATTCTTTCGAGTTGGATACAAAACTTCAACTAAACAAACCCAAACGAGGACGGAAACCCGTCCCTGGCCAGGTTGATGTACAAACACTCAAAAATGTTTACAGCCACCCTTTACCTATCACCAAGGCTCTGTTTGCTGACCTGAAGTCTTTGTGTGAAAGTGAGGCCATCCCTAAACGTTATCACAGTTTTTATAGTAATTTAAATTATGCAGATCTCAATATTATAGGTACCTTAACAACAACAAGAAGATATAGATAAAAATTAAATTCAGTAATTTTTGTTTTAATTTTTGTTTCATATTATAATAATAAAAAAATTGATAATTTTTGCGTTTAATTTGTCGCCATTAAATAGTAAATTTATAATCAAGTAGCGTGTGCCCGCGACTTCGTCCGCATGGAATAGTGACTTTGGGTACCACTTGAGTGAATCCCAAGCAATGACGATACTTTCATACAACATTTCAACCCCTATTTCGACCCCTTACAACCCTTTTTTGCATTTAAAAGTAGTATATGTCCTTCCTCAGGCTCTAGGGTATCTGTGTACTAATTTAATGTAAATCGGTTCAGTACTTTTAGCATGAAAGCTACACAGACAGACAGAGTTACTTTCGCATTTATAATATTAGTAAGGATTGTATGTCTTGCCCAATTGAAAACTCGCTAGATTATAAGCTGACAATATTTAGGTTCAATTAACAGTGCTACAAATAACCCTGTATAATTAATACAATATGCATCAAAACATAAATAGATAAATAATGTCAAATTTAAAGTAATACACATAAAAACTTTATTTATACATAGGTACCGAAATAGTTAATTTTGCTGCTTACCTTTCATTACACCTAAAAATCATCAGATAAGCATGTAATTTATGTTTACCGTAATATTAAAGTCAGCTATATCATCTAATACGATTGCAATGTCATTTTACGAATAGAAAGTATATTCATATTTACCATTGAACAATATCATAATGAACGATTACTACAGCAACACCGATTTGTGATTACAGTCGAACACTATCGTAAAGTTAGTTTGCGTTAATTTTTTCCATAGCTTATTTCAGTAATGGACATTTTCACAATTTTCTTACTGATAAAGAAAATTTATGATAAAAATTTAGTAAAAATCTAGTGCAAAAAAATATTCCCTATTTTTGATAAAAGAATCTTCTTTTTAGTCTTGATAGAATTCAAGATATTCAGTTTTTATTTGCTCCTGTAAAATTGTAATTTTCCTATTACGATTTTGTTCGTCGGGGACTGCGACATGATTAGATTTTTGAAATAATTATTTTATAACTCCTAAAGATCAAGTATTTTTCCATCATCAGCTCAGCAACATGACATAACGACTACTAAACGCAAATACCTATAAAGCTAGAGAAATAAGCTAAACACGGTTGTCGGAGCTGTAAAATTTGAGGGTTCCCCTTTTTTTGGGCACCAGGGACTTCCTTTCTAGGATATACCTGGTTCCCCGGCTAATAGTACCCGGCGAAGGCGTGCGGTTTTAGTCGGTTCGAGTCCGGCATGCCACCGACAGGTGGTATCCGAGGGGATTTCCGCACGGAAAAAAAAAATAAAAAAAAAAAAACAAAAAGGTTCCCCTAGATTTCTCTCGGATGCCATCACCAGATAATGATTTGGTGGTAACGGAACTATTTGGGAGTATACTCTTTCGATTACAAAAAGAATTTTGTAATTCGGTGCACAATTAATAATAATAATAAGTATATTGTACCACATTCACACAACGCCATCTAGTCCCAAACTAAGCAGAGCTTGTACTATGGGTACTAGATAACTGATATAAATACATATATACTTTTTTTTGGAAACGCCCAGACCAAATCAAACATTAAATGTTCATGCACACAAATGTTTGACTTGAGCGGGAATCGAACCCGCGACCTTTGGAATAGCAGTCCGTTACATAAACCACTACGCCATTCGGTCGTCAAACAAAATATGGACGAATTGATAACCTCCTTTTTTGTGTTTTAGAATTCGGTTTAAAATAAACACACATTTACTTTATATATATTTATTTCTCAAGTTGACGGAAAATAATTATACCTTAAACAAGAATAATATATTCATATATACATTTGCGTTTATTCAGACACTGTGTGTTTAACATTTATTATTTAAATTATTTAAATGTATCCTAACGACTCTAACAAGTCAGTGACTCTGAACTCATAGCGGTCGCCAATTTGGCGAGGGCTCCGCTAATTGTTTTCCCTCTCTTCGATATTACGCTTTATTATTAATAAATATATAGCGACTAATTGTTTTTGAAACAGTCGAGCGTTGTAGTACATTCCTGCAACATAAAAACCAGTAAAATAAATAATAATAATGTTGCGCCATAGTATTAAATGGTAATTTCGATTGTATGAAATGTGGAGGACAGCGCCATCTAGTATCGACTAAAGTACATCTATTAAGATTGTGGTTATTACAAGTAGTTCTGATTCTTACAGCGCTAGATGGCGCTGCAAGTAACGCGTGACTGATTCTGGAATATTCGTGTTTGTTTGGCACGGACTGTCGAATACTATGAACTTTCTAGTAAAATTCAAAAGCGCAATAAAAGCGGAGCGTGGTGGCTTTCGAGACAGTTTCGTTTTACGACACAGCGAATTAACATCGAAGTGAATTTCTAGTGCGACTAACAAGATATATAATGATTCCTAGTAGTGAGTGTTTGTAAATACAGTGAAATAAAGTAATTAACCGACAACTTTTATTTATTATATACCCCGCTCGTAATAATAACTTAATAAATCTCACACAGGGCCATCTTATACCAGACTAGGCAGAGCCTGAGCTATGGTAACCAGAAAGCTGATAAACATACTTATATATTAAATAATACATATTATAAATGCATCATCCATACATCCATACTAATATTATAAAAGTGAAATTGTGTCTGTCTGTCTGTTACCTCTTCACGCTTAAACCGCTGAACCGATTTAGATGAAATTTGATATAGAAATAGTTTACATACTTACCATCAGGTTTATTGGTTTTAACATAAGTGAAAGAGGGGACCCCTTTCACTTATGTTAAACCATCAGTTGGCCCTGTCTGCTTGTTTGCCCGCAAACATCGTAATCACCAGCGATGATCCCGCTGGTCGTGGGATCCTCCCTTTATTGGGTTTAACATAAGTGAAAGGGGGGCCCCTTTCACTTATGTTAAACCATCAGTTGGCCCTGTCTGCTTGTTTGCCCGCAAACATCGTAATCACCAGCGATGATCCCGCTGGTCGTGGGATCCTCCCTTTATTGGTTTTAACATAAGTGAAAGAGGGGACCCCTTTCACTTATGTTAAACCCAATATAGTAAGTTATGTTTCCTTACCATAATTGTAGTATCAAAAACAAAGTTATGTGGACATTTTTGTGGAAGCGAATTTTTGTTAAAACATATGTAGTATTTTGTATTGTCAGTTGGATTTGCAGCGAAGTAAATGCCGTTGGCTTTGCAGATAGAGTTGCATTTCGCTTGGCTGGGGGGTAGGCACATCTGTAAATATAATTTATAGTTGGTATACATATCTAAACGTAGTGTAGGCCACAGGCCAGGTGGAGTGACGATTTGCGCAAGGTGGCTGGCAGGAGCTGGATGCGAGAAGCCCAAAATCGATCTAAGTGACGTGCAATGGGAGAGGCATATGTTCAGCAGTGGACTGCGATAGGCTGATGATGAAAATACATATCTATACAAATAAATAAAATTGAAGTGTCCGTATGTAATGTCAAAATAATGGTTTCTTTTAACGCTCACACGGTTATTTGTGCGATACCTACGCCTAAAAAACAGTTTAAATATTTTTTGTCCGTCTGTCTGTTTGTTCCGGGTTATCTTCAAAACAGCTGAACCTAAAGCTTTTGATAATATTTTAGCCGTCTATATAAGGAGTAGCTTCGGCTATTTTACCCTAAAAAACCCTACAAATTTTTGCCCAGACCAGGAATCAAACCCGAGACCTCATGGACTGCAGTCTTGTACCGTACTACAAAACTAAGGCAGCGCTTTTCAAATTCCACGCGAACGCAGTCGCGGGTACCAGCTAGTAGTTGCAGACTACGTAATAGGTATCGAAAAAAAAAGTTAAAATGTGAAATATTCTATATTATTATGTGGATATTCACATTTAGTGTATATACATGTTGGTGGTAATCATATTTAGTGTTTCACATTTTAACTTAGTATTTTTTTGTTCTACTTATTTTGTATTATTGCTTTTTCCGTTCGAATTCGATTGTGGTCATGAATCGACCACAATCGAATGCATTGCAGCGATCGTGGTCACAGATAACCGTAAATATTTCAATTCAAATAAGACTGATGAGGTCGTGCTGACGGATGGACCATGCTGAATAAAAATGTTTTTGTTAATCTTGTAAATGTAAGGATTAAGTCCCGACAGAAGGGGGTCATTTACGCCCGTAGATGGCCCGAGGTACGTCGGGGTATCAGGGTTTCCTTCCTAGGGTACACCTGGTTCCCCGGCAACTGGTAAACGAGTCGGTTCGAGTCCGACATAACCACCGGTGGGTGGTATCCGAGGGGATTTCCGCACAGAAAATAAAAAAAAGGGGATTAAGTCCCAAATAATCTTATCTTACTACTAATGCGTAAGTTTGGATGTGTATTTGTTACTTAACCATGTTAGAACGGCTAAACAAATATTGAAGAAATGTGAAACAGAGTTAGATTTATATATATAGTCTGAAGTAGTTCATATTGTGTGTCATATTGTGTTGTGTGTGTGTGTGTGTGTGAAATAGTTGTATTGTGTGTCATATAAATAAATAAAAAATAAATAAATAAATATTTTTTATTCCGGAAGAGTTGATTTACAATATCAACATCACCGCGGGCGAAACCATGATTAAAAGCTACCATTTTGTTAAGTCAACTCCCGCACTGGGTATATATAGAATATATACATGAATCGGACACGAAAAACATCCAGGCTTAGAACAAAAAATTGTTGAGCACACAAAGTGTTGTCCCATGCCGGGATTGAATCCACAACACTCAGGGCAATAGTTAGCGCTGGGTGACCGATTAAACAACTACGTCACCCATGCAGTTTTTTTATTATCTTTTTCGGACATCTGACACACAACGCCATCTAGTTTCAAACTAAGCAGAGCTTGTACTATGAAAGCTGGATTGACTAATAGAATACTTATAAACTTTTTTTTTGTAAATACACACATACATATTATACATGGAAAACACCCAAACTCCGAAATAAATATTTGCAGATCATACAAACATTTGGTCCGACCCGGGAATCGAGCCCGAGAGCTCAGCACAGGTAGTCCAGCTTTTAGCTTTAAGCTTTTAGAAAACCATATTATACATAGAAAACACCCAAACTACGAAACAAATATTTACAGATCATACAAAGTTGAGAGTTGGATCTTCTACGTACCAATTGTGACTTGCTGAACTCCAATCCTTCTGGACAAGATTTAATATAAAGAGTACCATAGAAGCACATGTAATACTTCGTACAGTCATCAGGATCTGGTCGGTATGTCTGCGAAGAGTCCTCACATTTGATAACTGTGGTCTGAGCTTCGGTCCAAGAATGTGCATATCTTTCTGGTTGTGTTGGTTGAGGCTGTACAGGTGTTACTGTCTTAGATAAATCCGTGAAAACGTGAATATCACATCCAGCCTGTTGTTTTGGTTGACATTTCTGTAAATAATAATGATAACTTTAAAACATAACCAGGTAACCAGGTAACCAGACATAACCAGGAACCAAGAAAAGGTAACCAGACTACTGATAAACATACTTATATATTTCTAAATACATACATATTATAGATAAATTACACCCAGACACAGAACAAATGATCTTGCTCATCACACAATAATTTGTCCTGGGTGGGAATCGATTCCACGACCTCCCACGAATAGGCCAACACATCCGTCAAAATATAATTTAATTGTCACTGCTAAAATTCAAAATGTCATTTTTTTTAAATAACCGCCTTTAATGCTCCTACATCTTAATAAAGTTGTATTTTAAATTTTCACCCTTAGGGATGAAAGTTTTATCTTCAAGTATGATTGAGACCAAACGCGGAGTATATTATTTCAGATAAAAAAAAAGGATTTCAAACGTTCTTCCGTGTTTTGACGGATTAAGAATACAGACTTTCATCACCCCTATTCATTCCGTGGGTGTCGTCAGAAGGGAGCAAACTACGCAGGACAACAGAACTACAAAGAGAACGAAAACTTGAAACAAACCCTATACCAACCCGTCTGGCCAGGGTGGTATAGTAGACCAAAACCTCCTTTCTCAGGAGAGGCCTATGTTGCAGTGGACTTTTAAAAGCTATTGATGAAAAAGAATTTACCAAATAGGTTCCTAAATAGTGGATAACATAAAAAATTAAAAAGACTTACCAAATCAATGGGATTAAATTCATAATCCCCAGGACATTGTCTATGAGTGATTTCACCATAAATACACAAGAAGTAACGCCTGCAGCTAGTCATATCTGGTTTGGACCATGTACTAAATATGTCACATTCTTCTTCTAACTCCCCGCTAGTCTTAGATAATTTTTTTCTATTCGATTGTTTTTCATTCTCATCTGTTTTTGTTGATGATTCCATAGTGACATCATTTTCTTCCTTTCTAGGAACAAGTTCTTTATTTATAATAGAATCTGATTCTGTTTTAATCTCTGATGCCGATGGAATGACTGGGATACCTTCAATACTTGTACTAGATTCTAATGAATTGACGGAGACACCTCCTTCACTGGCAACAGATTCCGATTGAGTGACTGAGACACCTCCTGCACTAGCACTAGATACTGTTGGAGTGACTGGGTCACCTTCTGTACTAGATACTGTAGGAGTGACTCGGACATCTTCTGTACTAGATTGTAATGTAACGACTGAGACATCTTCTGCTCTAGCATTAGATACTATTAGAGGGACTGGGACACCTTCTGTAATAGATACTGTTGGAGTGACTGGAACATCTTCTGTACTAGATTCTAAAATAACGACTGAGACATCGCCTGCACTAGCACTAGATACAGTTGGAATGACTGGAACACCGTCTGTACTGGATTCTAATGTAACGACTGAGACACCTCCTGTACTAGCACTAGATACGGTTGGAATGACTGGGACACCTTCTGTACTAGATTCTAATGGAACGACGGAGACACTTCCTGCACTGACAATAGATTCCGATGGAGTGACTGGGACACCTTCTGTATTATGTATATTAGCTTCTGTCGTAACGATTATTGTTCCTTCTATACTTGTACTAGAATCTGATGAAGTGGTTGAACTGCTTTTAATAACTGTATTTGTATAAGTGATTGTTGTGAATTCTTCTGTACTGTTCACAAGGCAGCCTGCAGCGTTTTTGTCGACGCATCTCTGAAATCAAAACATGTGTGAATTTTAAGCATATTTAGTTAAAAATATGAATCTACATGTTAATATTTATCTAAAGAGATTTTTCTTCACTCCTCTTTTAATAACTTTAGAAGAACTTTTAACAGTATTAATTGTCATAAATCGAAAAATTACATGATAATGGGTACGAAAACTTAAACAAGTCCAGTATACGTTACCAGGTATATTGACCTATATTGGTTCGGCAAGTCTATTAAATTACATTCCAACTTATTCTGGATACCCATACGGTCTATACACGTCCATATAATGTTAATGTATAAGTTTACGCCGTCAACGAGGCGGTAACACCCGTTATGGAGGATTGGCTGGAGAGGCATCATGGGACCCTCTCATATCGACTGACGCAGGTGATCACTGGGAAGGATGTTTCGGGGATCACCTGTGTCTGATCCGCAAGGAGCCAATGCCTGAGTGTCACCACTGCAATGGTCGGACCGTGGACACGGCGCTCCACACGCTGGCAGAATTATCGTCTGCGGTATTGCCAGACCGATACGACCTTCAAACCTTCAAGAAAAGAGCGTACTCCTTCCTCAAAAGCCAGTAACGCATTTGTGACTCTTGAGTTGCAGGCGTTCATGGGCGGCGGTAGTCACTTGCCATCAAGTGACCCATCTGCTCGATTACCCTCGCTTCCATAATAAAGATTAAAAAAAATATGCCTACGCTTACCAGTTCTACAGGACTAAAGAGGGCAAATGTAGAACACATGTAATGTTGTAGCAGTCCATTGACACAAAAATAATAATAACTGCAATTCCTTGGGTCCGGTTTTATCCATAAGTCTTCAACAGAACACTCTAGTTCCTGTTGTTGGGTTGTTGTTGTTGAAGATTCTGTTGTTTCACCAACAGTTCTTGTTGTTTCACCAGCAGTTCTTGTTGTTGAAGATTCTGTTGTTTCACCAGCAGTTCTTGTTGTTGAAGATTCTTTTGTTTCACTCATAGCTGTTGCTGTTGGAGTTTCTGTTGCTTCACCCGCAGTTGTTGTTGATTTTGCAGTGTCTAAGATTTTCCTAAATCTCGTATTATATGTACAGTTGGCTTCAGTTTTATGCACGCAAGTCTTTAAACAAAGAAAGTAATAGGTTACTACTATAAAAAACTATAAAATGAATAATAGTAGAGTAACAGATCGCTGACTCGAGCAGGAGGGACTCCAGGGACAGCAACGCACTTGTGACTTTTGAGTTGCAGGTGTCCATGAGCGGCGGTAGTTGCTTACCATCAGGTGACCAGTCTGCTCGTTTGCCCCCTTATACCAATAAAAAAAGAAGATCTCCGTGTGGTGACGGATTCGGAATACGGAGTGTCACCAACCCTATTCATCCCGCGGGTGTCGTAAGAGCCGACTAAGGGTGCAAAACTACGCAGGGCAACCGCACTGCAAAGAGAAGGAAAAGAGAACCAACATCTCCTTTCTAAGGAGAGGCCTATGTTCAGCAGTGGACTGTCAGAGGCTGTTGATGATGAAATCGATGATGTTCTGCACATACAGACAGGTTCGACCGGAGTCATACCAGCCTTACAGAAAACTGATGTTAAGCAAGGCTTTTGTGGCCAATCACCGAATAAGTAAAGTTACATGAGGTCCTACCTCCCCCTACTCAAGACTGGAGAGCACTCAAAGCTGGTAACATACTAACGTTGCTTCAGTAGCAAGAGTCCATGGGTTGAGGTAGCACTTGGGTATTATATTAAATATACCTTTTGCAACAACGAACTATAGGCGTAATGCTTTTACTCTAAGAAGTGCAAATAGTTTTAATCAACTTACACGGAATCTCGATATACGAGTAGACTTGTTTTGCACTAATGTGAACACGATTAGAAGGGTATTAGCTCAATCATTTTTTGAATCTTAAAGTGGCACTCAAACTGTACTACTCTGTTTCTTTTATTTGTTTTTCTTTGTTCTTTTCTTTATTTATTTTTTTCTCTTTTTAACATATCTATGTATCGTCATCTCAGTGTGTATGTGTGTGTATGTATGTGTACTCATGGGGGTGTGCGCATGTGTATGTGCTCATACGTGTATATGCATCTATGTGTATATTATTTATGTGTTATGTATATCCCTGCCAAGGCTTACACTTCTCCTCATTTTAAGTCGACAGTTCTCCTTAGAGTACCTATATGCAGAGACTTGTAATTAGCAATAAGATTATTTAATTGTAATTACACAAAATTGTTATATGTCTGTTAGTCTTTCTAAGAATAATTAAATAAATAAATAAATAAATTATCTTGGGTATCACAGGTGAGGTATCAGATGACCCATCTGCGTCTTTACCCTCCTATACCATAAAAAAGAGAAGGAGATACTTACTCGTGACGCCTGACTGAAGAGAAAGTTTTCAGGGCATTTCTTTCTGTTAATATAACCATCTTTACATTGATAATAAAATCTACAATCCTTAGTATCAGGTTTTAACCAGGGCTCATTGCCGCAGCCATTTCGTATGACATCAGATACTGGTGTTTTATCTTTGGTGGTTACATGGCAATTAACCGTCTCCCCCAGGCGACATCTCTGTAAAAAAAAGAAAAACAAAATATCATCACTATTTATCACCAGTATCTTACTTTTCCTAGTTTATTACGAGTTGGCCCAAAGCAAAACATTTTAAAATAAACTTTTTTGCCCTGTGCGGATATCGTCGGACTCTAACTGACCAAAAACTTCAGGCACCAGTAGCCGGGGAACCAGATATTCCCTAGAAAATAAAGGTCTCATCACATCATCACATCAACAGCCTTTAACAGTCCACTGCTGGACATAGGCCTCTCCTTAGAAAGGGGGTTTTGGCCTACTATACCACGCTGGCCAGACGGGTTGGTATAGGGTTTCTGTCAAGTTTTCCTTCTCTCTGCAGTGCTGTTGTCCTGCGTATTTTGCTCCCTTAGTCGCCTCTTACGACACCCACGGAATGAATAGGGGTGGTGACACTCTGTATTCTTAATCCGTCACCACACTGATACCACAAGAAAGGTCTACTACCTTTAAAATTAACTTTACCGTAAGTGTGAGCGTAAGACCGTGACATTTATACCGCACTAGCTTTTCCCGCGACTCTGCCCGAATGTCGGTTATCGCGACATATCATATGTCCTTCCTCAGCAATCAAACTATCTCTCTACCAAATTTCATCTAAATCCGTTTTGCGGTTATTGATTTCCCATACAAACTTCCAACCCCATTTTCACCCCCTTACAAAATGATTTCTGGGATAAAAACTATCCTATGTCCTTTCCCGGGACTCAAACTGTCTCTATACCAAATTTCAACTAAATGGGTTAAGCAGTTTAAACGTGAAGAGGTGACAGACAGACACACTTTAACATTTATAATGTTAGAATGGATACATATTTATAAAATTAATCAATATTAAAGTTAATGATAAGTTAGCTAAGTCATCCTCGCTCCTACACTGCTGCGCCCGACGGGGTCCATAACGCACTGTCATACCCAATGTAGCATCTCTGTAAGTTTTAAGTGTTAAGTGGCTACCGCCTCCTTCTTATACCCTGATTTAACTGTAGTAGGTTAAGTAGAAACTAAGTTAAGTTAGCTCTAAGATTGCGATCCGGGCACTCCATCGGCAAAGTTTGCATTTCTAATGAAAAAAATAAATTCATCTAACTGTATTAGGGGAGAGTAACCAATATTGAACCGACGCGGCGGCGCTTAAATTGGACCACTTCTATATTTCTACCAAAATGGCACTATTTGGTATAGTATATTGGCACAAAAAGGAGCGCCACAAAATGGCGGAGTATAAGTGGTGCTGTTAGCGTTCCTTTTTGTGTTGCTAGTATAAAAAATGGTGCCATTTTGGTAAAAATACAGCAGTGGTCCAATTTAAGCGCTGGTTCAATATTGGTTACTCTTCCCTACTTGTAACGTGGTGGAGGATGTACAAAATTTGCTCATAGATTGTGTCCGGAATTCAAATATATAATTAGCTAGCTGAGACCCGCGGTGTTACCCGCGTTTGTTGTTATAACCGCGGGCAACGCCGTGGGGAGAAGCTAGTCTAAAAAAAGTAGCCTAAGTTACTCCTTATGTCATCAGCTATCTGCCAGTAAAAGTCCCGTCGAAATCGGTCCAGCCGTTCCAGAGATTACCCGGAACAAACGGACAGACAGACAGACAAAAATTGTAAAAAATGTTATTTTGGCATATGTACCATACATATGCATTTAGTAAAAAGCGGTTATTTTAATATTACAAACAGACACTCCAATTTTATTTATTTGTATAGATAAGCAAAGTTAGTGGTGGTATTTTTGTTGGCAATCCATAAAAATAAGACAAAAATAAAATTATCATTAATTATTTATTATGCTTTTATAGACAAAACATTTAGGCACTTCTGTACATCAGCAGACTACCTTCCTCTACCAGCGAACATTTGGGTGGTGTAGAAATCTTTTAATGTAATTTCCCAGAACGGCAACTTTGAAAAAACCACTCCCATCATCTATTTGTAATTTCATCACTGATGTTTATGTTAGAAATCAACAGTACAACATGTACCATGGATTTTTATGTTTCAAAAAATATAATTTATATTTGACGGCCATTGACTTCAATACATTGCTCACATCTTTGTCTAATATTTTCTAGTAATCTATCAAATAAGTTATCATGTGCGGCTATACTTTTCACTTTGTCAAACGCTATGGTAATGCTCGTCCTTAGATCTTCTTTATTCGTGGCATCAGTGCAGTATACTTCTCCTTTTATAAAATCCCAAAACAAGAAGTGTAATGGCGATAGGTCGGGGGATCTTGGTGGCCACCTTACTGGCCCGTATCGACCTACCCACTGCTCACCAAACATACCATTTAGACGGTCCCGAACGGCCTCCACTGAATGTGTAGACACTCCATCCAGCTGATACCATATCTTTGTCTTTTGATCCAGAGGCAATTGAACTATATAGTCAGACACTGGGCCATCAAGTATTTCAAGAAACTTAACCGTATTGTAATTACCATCAATAAAAATAGGACCAATTATCTGATTACCGTGGATGCCAGCCCAAACGTTTAATGCAATGCTGTTGTTTTTTAAAGACTCTTCGAAGAGGTTTGTTTTTTTTTTACTCCAATACCACATATTATGGCGATTCCAAATTCCATTTGATGTGAACATGCTCTCGTCAGTCCAGATTATATTGGAAAGGAATTCACTGTCGTTTTCCATTCTGCTAAGCAACCATTTGCAGTATGCTTCCCTGATTGGCCGATCTCTATTTAGCAATGATTGTACTATTGCTGGCTTGTATGGCCTTTGGTTATTTGCCTTAAGAACTTTGTCATCCATTGTATGGTGAACACGAAACTGACGGGCAGATCTGCGAAGACTGGTTATAGGGTTATGTGAAAAATGACTTAAAAACCGTTTCTCAAGGGCGACTGGTCTTCGCTGAGGAATTGCGATACCGGATGTCACCAAAGGCTTATTTTCTCGTAATCTTTTCAGTACCTTTACAAAGATTCTGCAGTTTTTAGGACAGACACGGCTGGCTCCGTATCTCTGACGGTATATTCGCAATGCTTATGCTGCGTTTTGGTTGCATTCACCGTAAATTAGTATCATATCCGTATACTCCACGGCTGAATAGTTTACTCGAGGCATTTCTATTTGGTTTTAGTTTGGTTATTTTTAAATTAAAACAGAATGTTTTATTACAGCACACACGATTCTGATTACTTCACACTGTGTATGATTGTTTATTATTTTGAAATACGTACGTATTGTCAAACTTAATAATTAAATAACAACTAAACTAGTTACACATAAACCAACCTTAGGTTATTTATAAATGATCTAAGAAAACAACAATACTTTGCACAAGCGGAAAAGCGGTCGTGCCAACATCCAACAATACTTTAGCAGCGACATTCGGCAGCAAGCGCAAGGCGCATAAACAAACTCGCGCGCGCACAGGTAGGGATGGAAGAAATATCGATATTTCAAACTAATGATATTTTTTCAGAAAATATCCGATTAATATAATCGATATTTTTAATCTGAAATTATCAATTGTTCGAAATTTATTTCCGAGTATCAAATTTGTATCAAATTTGATTGATTTTTTCAACATATTCTTTATTAACCCTTGGGGTACCTGGTGAGTTTGACGGACCCGTTACTTTAAGGACTTGACAAATCACATATTTAAATTCTTTATCAAGCCAGCGTAGCTTCGAAATCGACTTCGAAAAAGACTTTTTACGACCTCTCCCATAGTCCAACACTAGCTCTTACGAGAAAAACGCAATTACACTAAACACACGACACACACAGACACAGCTGCTGTCTGTCACTGCTAATAAAACGGATAATTATGTGTTATTTTTTCACTTTCGAATATTTTGACAATACTTTAGATAATTTTGGAATAAAATCACGTTATTTTGAAATATCTATATTTTTTACACTGCAAATATCGATATTGCTTAATAACATCGATACGAAATAAATCGATTTATTATATTAATTTGCTCATCCCGCGCAGGTAGGCCTAGTGTCACTAGTGTCAACCTCGATTAGTGTGTAGGTTATGCCTAGTTCACATGCGTGCCGAGGCTCGGCATTCGGCAAACGTTCACAGCTCCGAGACTTTACAAACGCTTGGATGCCATTTAAACGCTTGCGAGTGTGCTATTGTATTCCGGACAGGCAAACAGCAGACGTGGACATATTTTTATTCAGAATATAAACGGCAACACTAAACTAAAAAAAATATTATCTAGCCCTACTGCTCAACTAAACTACTCAATTAGTAGAGCATGATTCCCGACTGCTCAACTACAATATTTGCAATATCAAATTGAGCAGTAGGAAACAAGCACGCGCCAACGTGTAAATACGTCGCAAACGCTTGCCGCGAGCTTCCTTTGATCTGTGTTCAAAAACCGACACTAGTACCGATCGACGAGGAGTCTACGCGAGCCGAGCAAAACACCCCGTTTACACGCTTGTGGTTGTGGAGACTTGTCGAGGCTCGCCATGTGTGTAAACGGCCTATAAGGAGGTCATTCGATCACAAAATTTTACTCTTCATATTTTTTTCATACCGGGCGCCTTATATGAAAAACGATTGTTTAGGAGTAAACTTAAATAAAAGAATACTCCACCGTAGCCTCTGGTGAAAGATAGTTTGCAATAATAATAGGAATCTTACCAAGAATACGGGGCTGAAGAGGAAGTATGGTGGACATTTCTGGTGGTATAAATACCCATTTAGACACTGGTAGTAGTAACTGCAGTCGGTGTAGTCGGGTTTTAACCATTTGTCACGTCTACCGCAGAGCAGGAAATCTTTTGGCGTTGTTGGAAACACTGTTGTTGGAGTTGTCTCTTCTGTGGTCGTTGTTGTAAAGACTGTTGTTGGAGATATATCTTCTGTGGCCGTTGTTGTGAAGACGGTTGTTGGAGATATTTCTTCTGTTGTCGTTGTTGTGAAGACTATTGTTGGAGATATATCTTCTGTTGTGCTTGTTATGAAGACTGTGGTTGGAGCTGTCTCTTCTGTAGACGTTGTTGTGAAGACTGTGGTTGGAGGTGTCTCTTCTGTGGTCGTTGTTGTGAAGACTGTTGTTGGAGCTATCTCTTCTGTGGTCGTTGTTGTGAAGACTGTTGTTGGAGATATATCTTCTGCTGTCGTTGTTATGAAAACTGTTGTTGGTGTTGTCTCTTCTATAGTTGCTGTTGTGAAGACTGTTGTTGGAGATATATCTTCTGTGGTAATTGTTATGAAGATTGTTGTTGGAGCTGTCTCTTCTGTAGACGTTGTTATGAAGACTGTGGTTGGAGGTGCCTCTTCTGTGGTCGTTGTTGTGAAGACTGTTGTTGGAGATATATCTTCTGTTGTGCTTGTTATGAAGACAGTGGTTGGAGCTGTCTCTTCTGTAGACGTTGTTGTGAAGACTGTTGTTGGAGCTATATCTTCTGCTGTCGTTGTTATGAAAACTGTTGTTGGTGTTGTCTCTTCTATAGTTGCTGTTGTGAAGACTGTTGTTGGAGATATATCTTCTGTTGTCCTTGTTATGAAGACTGTGGTTGGAGGTGTCTCTTCTGTGATCGTTGTTGTGAAGACTGTTGTTGGAGCTGTTTCTTCCGTGGTCGTTGTTGTGAAGACTTTTGTTGGAGCTATCTCTTCTGTGGTCGTTGTTGTGAAGACTGTTGTTGGAGATATATCTTCTGCTGTCGTTGTTATGAAAACTGTTGTTGGTGTTGTCTCTTCTATAGTTTCTGTTGTGAAGACTGTTGTTGGAGATATATCTTCTGTGGTAATTGTTGTGAAGACTGTTGTTGGAGATATATCTTCTGTTGTCCTTGTTATGAAGACTGTGGTTGGAGGTGTCTCTTCTGTGGTCGTTGTTGTGAAGACTGTTGTTGGAGCTGTTTCTTCCGTGGTCGTTGTTGTGAAGACTGTTGTTGGAGAAATATCTTCTGTGGTAGTTGTTGTGAAGACTGTTGTTGGAGATATATCTTCTGTTGTCCTTGTTATGAAGACTGTGGTTGGAGGTGTCTCTTCTGTGGTCGTTGTTGTGAAGACTGTTGTTGGAGATATATCTTCTGTTGTCCTTGTTATGAAGACTGTGGTTGGAGGTGTCTCTTCTGTGGTCGTTGTTGTGAAGACTGTTGTTGGAGCTGTTTCTTCCGTGGTCGTTGTTGTGAAGACTGTTGTTGGAGAAATATCTTCTGTGGTAGTTGTTGTGAAGACTGTTGTTGGAGATATATCTTCTGTTGTCCTTGTTATGAAGACTGTGGTTGGAGGTGTCTCTTCTGTGGTCGTTGTTGTAAAGACTGTTGTTGGAGCTGTTTCTTCCGTGGTCGTTGTTGTGAAGACTGTTGTTGAAGCTATCTCTTCTTTGGTCAATGTTGTGAAGACTGTTGTTGGAGCTGGCTCTTCTGTTGACGTTGTTATGAAGACTGTTGTTGGAGATATATCTTCTGTTGTCCTTGTTATGAAGACTGTGGTTGGAGGTGTCTCTTCTGTGGTCGTTGTTGTGAAGACTGTTGTTGGAGCTGTTTCTTCCGTAGTCGTTGTTGTGAAGACTGTTTTTGGAGCTGTCTCTTCAGTGTTTGTTGTTGTTAAGGCTGTTGTTGGAGATATCTCTTTAGTGGTTGATGTTGTGAAGACTGTTGGGGCAAACGTTGTTGTTGGCTCTGCGCAGTCCGCTTTGTATTCTGGTAAGCATATCTGAAAATATTAATAATTCTCTAATACACAATTTAAACTAATCTTCTCTAATTTTGGTTCACCTTTCGTTCTCTATTTTTTCTCATTCTCTTTTCTTATATAGGTACGAGTAGATTAGGAACACTGGCCTATGTGGTTTTACTGAGTTCCAAAGTTAGGGACCTAATTTTAAACATAACTTTAAAATATTCTAACCTTTTCATACTAAATTTTATTTCGTGTCATCACCACATCAACGGCCTTTAATAGTCCACTGCTGGACATAGGCCTCTCTTTAGAAAGAAGGTTTTGGACTACTATACCATAGGCCAGACGAGTTGGTACAGGGTTTTGTCAAGTTTTCCTTCTCTTTGCAGTGCTGTTGTCCTGCGTAGTTTTCTCTCTCAGTCGGCTCCTTCGAGACCCACGGGATGAATAGAGGTAGAGTGTCATACAGCGGGCGGGTCTGATCACGTCTGCGGTTTGATACCGCCTTTATATTGGCGAATTCATAGACAAAATCTGATAAACAACTACTTACCAGCTTAGAAAAGCTGAAATACCAATCGTTTAAGCATTTCCTGTGGACTCTGTCTCCCCAGATGCAGATGTAGTAGTACTGACAGTCTTCGACGTCTGGCAGGAGTTCGATCTTTGAGGTGTCGTTGCAGACTGGCCAGGGAGTTTCAGTTGTTGAAGGGTATGTAACACACAGTGGTACACTTGGTATTTTTCTTCTGTTACATTTCGCTAAAGAAGAATCTCGACATGCCTGAAATATCACATCAACAGCCTTTAATAGTCCTCTGCTGGACATAAGCCTCTCTTTAGAAAATAAATAAATAAAAAGACAACTCCCGCACTAGAAATATCATCATGTTGCTAGGAACTACATTGAAAAATACATGAAACGGACACAAAGAATACCCAGACTTAGAAAAAAAAATTGTGGATCACACAAAGTGCTGTCCCAGGTGCTGGGTATCGAACCCACGACCGCTTAAACCACTACGCCATCCGTGCAGTCCGTAAAATCAATCAAGTGTAAATCGGGCCACGAGCTATATATGGTTCCGCAGTTTATTTTAAACAAGGAACAACTTCTATAGTTTATAACCCCCGCCGCAATTGGTATAAGTTTGACATATCTGCGAATCTGTTTGTGGCATCATAATCATAGCTCCTAAACGAATCAACCGATTATGATGTGGTTCTATTTGTTTGAAAACTGAAGTGATCGAGATGGTTCTTAGCTATATTTTGTGAAGACCATCAGCTCCGGGTCGTCATAATACCCTTTAAATATGACGTAAGGAGAAACCAATCAGGTTTAATAAAATAAATATTATTAAATAATATAAGTGACTTAATTCAATATAATAATATTTTCACACACCTCACACAGCAGTCTGATCCCAAACTAGGCAGAGCCTGTACTATGGTAACCAGACTGCTGATAAACATACTTATATATTTCTAAATAAATACATATTATAGATAAATTACACACAGACACAGAACAAATGACCGTGCTCATCACACAATATTTGTCCTGGGTGGGGACCCACCCACCTCTGGAGTAGCAGTCAGGGTCACTAACCACTAGACCAACAGGCAAGTCAATATGTGTAGCAAGGTCCAACAAGTGCCATCAGTCCACAATGTAAATCTATACAAATAAATATAATTGAAGTGTCTGTTTGTAATATCAAAATAATAGGTTTATTTCATGCTCACACGGTTATTTGCACGATACCTATGCCTAAAAACCTGTCTAAATATATTTTGGCTATCTGTCTGTTTGTGCCGAAAATCTTCAAAACGGCTGGACTGATTTTGATAATATTTTACTACCAGGTAGCTATCTATATGTATAAGGAGTAACTTAGGCTATTTTCCCTTTCAAAATAACCTTATAAATTTTTTCCCGGTCTGGGAATCGAACCCGAGACCTCACGGACTGCAGTGGCGTACCGTACTACACCACTAAGGTAGCGTTTTTCAAATTCCACTCGAACGAAGTCGCCGATACCAGCTAGTAGTAAATATAAATAAACTCACGTTTTTTTCTATATCAAAAATAAGTCCAGGAGGGCATTTCCCTCCCACCAGAGTTCCTCTTCTGCAATAATAATACTTCTCACAGTCATCTTCGTGGGGGAAGGCTGTCTTCTGTCGATTATCACAAGTATCTGCTGCCACCGCAATTATATACAGCAGTAAAAAAAAGATGTGAGATCCTGTGGACAAATAAACAGGATATTACGTAAAAGTGTTTTTAACGTATAAGGGAGATATGATCCAGTGGTTGAAAACCTCACTGCTAAGCCAGAGGTCGTGGGTTCGATTACCACCCAGGACAAATATTGTGTGATGAGCACGGTCATTTGTTCTGTGTCTGGGTGTAATTTATCTATACATCTATACAAATAAATAAAATCGGAGTGTCTGTTTGTAATATTTAAATAACCGCTTTTTACTAATGCATATGTATGTTTACACGGTACATATGTAAAAATAACATTTTTTTTTATTTTTGTCTGTCTGTCTGTTTGTTCCGGGTAATCTCTGGAACGGCTGTACCGATTTCGACGGGACTTTCACTGGCAGATAGCTGATGACATAAGGAGTAACTTAGGCTACTTATTTTAGACTAGCTTCACCCCGCGGCGTGCCCGCGGTTATAACAACAAACGCGGGTAACACCGCGGGTCTCAGCTAGTACATAATATGTTTACACAGTATAAAGTGAAGTCGCTTTTTTTTCTTGTACGCTTAAATCTTTTAAACTACGCAATGGATTGTAATGCGATTTTCACTAATACCCAGAGTGATTCAAAAGGCGGGTTTATATGTACTCGTATAATACACGCATATCATAGAAAATAAAATCCAAGAATTTCAGTAGTTTTTTTTTTTTTTTAAAGAAAACGCCCGCATTAGGAATATATATTCCTGTGTCGCGAGGGACTTTACAAACATGCATGAAACGGACACAAAGAACACCCAGACTCAGAACAACAATTTGTGGATCACACAAAGTATCGTCCCATGTGGGGTTTGAAACCAACACTCGGAGAAGTAGGAAGCGGCGTGGCGACCACTTAAACTACTACGCCATCCGTGCAGATTTGTAATGTGAACTCGTAAAACATATGTTTTTGTGCGCTTATAATGTAATCCCTGACTAAACCTTACGAGATTGATCAAATTAAGGCTTTACGGAACTGTATATTTTATAAAGATCCACAGAAAACTCCACAATAGTATATAATAGGTATTACCTATGAAATTGCCGTTTTGTATGCAATAAGTGAAAGTACTTATTTTTTCAAACTTTTTTATTTCTGTTATTCGAAGTAATCACCCATGCAATCGACGCATCTTTGCCAACGCATTGGCAGTTTATTGATGCCCTTCTTGTAAAGATCAGCTGGACGGGAGGCAACAAACTCTTCAAAGGCATCTTGTACTGCCACTCGAGAATTGAATGTTTTACCCACTAAAAAGTTGTCTAAATTTTGGAAAAAGTAATAGTCGGTAGGTGCAAGGTCTGGTGAGTATGGCGGATGAGGGAGAGCTTCCAACCCCAGCTCCATTCCCAGCATTTAGCAGTCAGGGTCACTACCACTAGACCAACAGGCCCGTAATAATAATAAATAATGTAATATATTTCACAACAATGTTACCTGGTCAAGGCATACATATTCATGTGGCCATTTTACTTAATTTTAACTCAATGACACATATTGTTTAACATTGTTACATTCTTCGTAAAAACATTAATTATGCTTCCGTGTGCCATATTTGTTTATTAAGAGACTAGCTGAGACCCGCGGTGTTACCCGCGTTTGTTGTTATAACCGCGGGCAACGCCGCGGGGCGAAGCTAGTCTAAAAAAAGTAGCCTAAGTTACTCCTTATGTCATCAGCTATCTGCCAGTGAAAGTCCCGTTGAAATCGGTCCAGCCGTTCCAGAGATTACCCGGAACAAACAGACAGACAGAGAGACAGACGAAAATTGTAAAAAAATGTTATTTTGGCCTATGTACCGTGTAAACATACATATGCATTTAGTAAAAAGCGGTTATTTTAATATTACAAACAGACACTTCAATTTCATTTATTTGTATAGTTAAGATATAGAACATAAAATAAACGTCACGTATTAACAATTAGAAAATAATAAGAATTGTAAAATACACTATTATATTTAATACATTTTATTTATTAAACAAAATAGTATAATTTTAACAATAACTCGGTCGTAAATTATTGATTTAGATTTCAATTTTAATTTAATAAAACATGACACGCCATTTGTAACTAGATGCGCAAGATGGCTGACAGGAGCTGGATGCGAGAAGCCCAAAATCGATCTAAGTGGCGTGCAATGGGAGAGGCCTATGTCCAGCAGTGGACTGCGATAGGCTGATGATGATGATGATTTGTAACTAGTGACATCTATTATCTGGTGCCTATCAACTCTAAAGGGCCTCTTTTAGATAGCCGATTCTTAATTTAAGCAAGAAAATCACGTTGTTTTTATGTAGATTCGACTTACCCATGTCAAGCGCTGAGTTAACAATGCTAATATAGGAAATAATACCGTATACCCATGTATTATAATCTGTAATTAGCGTGACAATTGATTTTATTTAAAATAGTCACGGGTTAACTCGGAAATCTAGATTAATTAGTACTAGATGTATTTTTTTTAGAATTACGTCGCAGCGCACATAATTTTACAGTCGTTATAATATTTGTTATATTTACTGTGTGAAAATTTATAGCTTGTATTTTTTTATGATACAGGAGGTAAATGGGCAAAGGGATCACTGGGAGGCCCAGTGTGTGAGTTTATTTCACATCTACTGAATCGTAAAGGTGACCGCGTACGGTGCGTTGCAAATGGCCCGCACTGAACTTCACCAGTCGCAACGCCGAACGCGCTCGCCGTCGAGTTAATGTGAAATAAGCTCACACTAGGCCCTCACCATCATCATCAATCATCAAACGTCTTTAAGTAATAATCGACTGCTCGACATAGCCTCTCCTTAGGGTTTGGCCCAAGCTGGCCAGACGGGTTTGGTATAACGTTTGTTTCAAGTGTTCTTCCTCTTTGCAGTGGTGTCGTATTATGTAGTTTGCCCCTTTCGTCGGCTCTTACGATACCCACAGAATGAACAATGGTGGTGACACTCCGTATTCTAATCCGACACCACTTGTAGCTCTAATGATGTGCGACCTAACGCCGCCCTTCAATATTAGGCCCGCCAAGTATATACACAGTACAGTAGGTATTTATAAAAAAAAGTATTTAAGTGTTCTATCAGACAATCTAGCTTTCATAGTACAAGCTCTGCTTGGTTTGAAACTAGTCCAAAAATATTATGTGGTTCGAAAAAATATAAGTACTCAGAAGACACAAGTGGGTTGCCTCCATGTAAGTGCTAATCCGTTCCAGTTAGAGAGTGCAAGTTGAGTCTCTTATAACCTCACTCCCTTGGTGGAATGATGAAAAGGAATGGTTAACACTGGTTTTTATGCAAGGCTGTGGTATCACACCGATTGTTCTGGCCCATAATATGCCGAGGAGAGTCATGATCCTGCCAGCAGAATTAGATTAAAGAGTACTAGAGATTTTCGACAGCCCTGGAGCTCTATTGGTCTGTCAGGATCATTATCCTAATAAGCGATTTTGCGATGTGCACAATCATTTGTTCTGTATCTGGGTGTCATTTATCTATTATATGTATGAATTTCCAAATATATATACATAAGTATGTTTATCAGTAGTTCAGTTATCATTTTTTTTAACGTGTCCAAGCCGTTTTCTCGTTGCGGCGGGGAGGTGTGTGGGAATCGAACCGACTAAAACCACACGGTGTGCCACTCCGCGGCTGAGATAAGAGGGGTCCGGGAACAGTTGATTTTAAGACTGTGGAGAAACGGGTGTTCTGTCAGGATTAGCAATTCTCATTTAGTAGTTACTCCGTTGTTCGGTGTGTCTTCGATAGATGGCGCTGTAGTATGTTTCTGTTTCTTTGTATGTGGGAGTCGCCACAAGACAGTCGAACCTGTAGTTTAGTTACTATAGTACAAGCTCTACCAAGATTTGAATCAGACGGCCGTTCGAAGGTTGTATAAAGTTATTACTTTTACTATATTACTCTAAAAAGTCGATGATGTACGCTGTCCTTAAAAAAAAAAAAAATAGCGTCAAGAATTTTTTACATTTCCTACTTAGTGAGCCAATTATATAATCATTAATTAGTCACACGAATCGAATCACGACCTCGTTATACATGGTTAAAACATACCCGTAAAATGTGTAACATACATTGTTTACATAATCCATGGGAAGTTTTGTGTGAGTCGGACTTACAGATGAAAGGTTCTGTACAAGATTCAATAAAACCGCCACAACCCTTATTATTTATTTTCAAAGTCAACTCCCACACTAGGAATATATCCTATATGGTAGGGGATTTTAAAAACATACATGCGATGGACATAAAGAATACCCAGACTCAGAATAACAATTTGTGGATCACGTAAAGTGTTGTCCCAGGTGGAGATCGAACCCACTAAACGAGGCGAGGTGACCGCTTAAACCACTACGCCAACCGTGTAGGAAAGGTTTTGTATAATAAATAATAATAATATTGTACCAAATTCACACAACGCCATCTGGTCCTAAACTAAGCAGAGCTTGTACTATGGGTAATAGACAACTGATATAAATACATATATTATACTTTTTTTGTAAATACACACATACGAGTATTATACATAGAAACACCCAGACCAAAAGAAAAAATAAAATAAATAATAAAACCTCAATTTTTTTTTTTGTATAATATTTAGTAAAATAATTTAGGTATGTAAGTAGAATTCCGATAGTTTGACCGATGTCAATGCCATCTTAACAGCATGTCAATGGAATGTGCGTTATCAGAAAATGGCGGCATTGAGGCGCGGACGGGTCGCCTTTTTTTTTTTTTTTTTTTACGTGTGGAAATCCCCTTGGACCGTCACCCCGCCGGGGCTCTCGCTCGGCGGGGCGGTGTGTCGGACTCGAACCGACTAAAACCACACGGTGTGCCCTCTTTGCGCTTCCAGTTTAGGAGGGGTCCAGGTAGTTATCGCCTTCTGGACCCCTCCCAGCGCTTGCCCGCTCCTGTTGCGGGCTCCGTCTCTGATCTTTCCTCTCTTTAGGCGACGTCCGGCACACGCGGACGCCGCCCCCTCGCGGCTGTGTGACCGCCCAGGACAGTGTGCGATGTCTCTGGGATAATTTCGTGGTTTTCAGCCATGGAAAGTTATGCCAACTGGAATATAAGGTTGTGTGTGTTTTGAAAGAAAGAAAGAAAGGAAGAAGAAGAAAATTCAATTCCGCTCCATTCTTGATCTCAAAAATCAGGATATATTCCTAACTAGCTGAAACCCGCAGTGTTACCCGCGTTTGTTGTTATAACCGCGGGCAACGCCGCGGGGCGAAGCTAGTCTAAAAAAAGTAGCCTAAGTTACTCCTTATGTCATCAGCTATCGGTCCAGCCGTTCCAGAGATTACCCGGAACAAACAGACAGATAAAAATTGTATAAAAATGTTATTTTCTCATATGTACCGTGTAAACATACATAGGCATTTAGTAAAAAGCGGTTATTTTAATATTACAAACAGACACTCCAATTTTATTTATTTGTATAGATGCGGGAAAAATTATCCTTAATCGTGCATTTGCGTTTGCGTGCGTTTAATTCAAATTAAGGTAATAACATAAAAAACACTAAAAATACTGGTGAATATACGCAAATAATTGATATAGTAGGGATTGGGATTTGGACAATTTTCTACCCCCACACGGAAACAGAACTTATAGCTAATATAAATTGCGCAGGCGTTCTAAAACACTTAGTATAATGTTTACTTACTATAATGTTTTGTGTCCGTGGTGCTTACCTGTTTAAAAGGATGTATGCCTATTTTTACTATTATTTCCCTGCTTTGCTAATATGGGCAGTAGATTTATTACATTACCGACTCTTTCAATTAACTTCTGATTAATTTTCATTGTGGGTTTTTAGACAGTTTAACTTTACCCAGTGTCATAACTCGGTGTGTTTGTGGGTCACTGCTGTTAATCCTGGTGTACAGTAGTTATAGTAATAGGCGTGTGGGAGTATTTAGTCCCAATAAAAAAAGTTCCAATAGATATTGCCAGGGTGGCAGCGCGATACGCTCCCTAGCGCGCTGGTACTTTAGGAGCAAGAATGGGACACCACAGTCCCCACACACGAGGGAACCACCTGTAAGCCATAGATCACCCGGGGTCCAGGGAACCAGGGATAACCTTTCTAGGTAACATCTAGTTCCCCAGCTACTGGTACCAGAGACGGTGTGTTAGACGGTTCGACTCCGACATAACTACCCCACCGGCAGACCGGTGGAGGGTATCTGTGATTTCCGTACAAAAAAGAAAAATACGTACAATTTTTGGCCTTTGTTATATTACACACATATTAAATCCTAAAAAGAAGCAAAAAAACAGTTGACCTATTGGTTAATAAGTATTTTTCGGAGATAATTAACTTATTTGCGCGTATTTGTAAAAAAACTTTACACGCAACATTTGATACTGTAGGACTATGTTAGGTTAGGTTTATTTACACGGGTTGTTTAATGTAACTGCATGGTCAGAGCACTTCTAGAAATATTACGGGACATCTAGACCACAGATATTCACCATTAATGCGACTGACAGTCCCTTTTGCAGAGAATGTCTCAAAGTAGTATTAAATTTTTACTTTCTTACTTCACCTATTTTATTTTTTTATAATATATATGTGTGTGTATGTACGTTTATATATGCATGTGTGTGGTATTTAAATAGTTATCCATCGATAGTTGGTATCTAATAAAACCTCTATCATTTATTACCCCCCCATAAATGCACCTACCTCATTCTTTCTCAGCATCGCCCAATCGGTCGACTGGCAGAGAATCCCGTAGGCATTAAGTCCGCCGATGCATGTACTTGTGCATAGAGTTATAAATAAATGAAAATCCTGGAATACGAGGTAGTGGCGGGCTAGTATCATACCTAACACAGAATCGCTCTTAGAAGTCTGCGCCGTTGGGAGCTTCTGAGCTGCTAGAAGGAGCTTGGTAGACTCACCTAGCCAAACTTACTTACACGTTTTGACCATTTTTTGAGTCTAAGTGCGAAAAGTTGAGTCCACTACCAATACCAATACCCTTCATCATCAACAGCCTCTAATAGTCCACTGCTGGATATAGATCTCTTCTTATGAAAGAGGTTTTGTCCTACTATACTGTCCAGACGGGTTGGTATAGGATTTGTGTTAAGTTTTCCTTCTCTTTGCAGTGCTGTTGTCCTGCGTAGTTTGCTCTCTTAGTCGGCTGCCATTACTATTTTATAAAGTCTTGTTCACACGATCTTTTATATTTAAATGTTAGTTAATGTACATTCAGTTCTCGTATCAACCGGTTCACCTTGGTTACGGCTCGTGTGATCGACCACTATAACGCTACAACTTTAAAAAATAATACAAACTAAACCAAACTAAAAAATACAAAATAAATTTGAAAAAAGCGTTGGGTGCCTGTTGTCAATAGTAAAAAGCAGTTTAAATTAGTGTATTGTCATCGGTCCTCGATATATCTACAAAGTTTGAATGAATTCTGACCGTTTAAAGTCAGTCAAAATCACGCCCAAAGGAGTCGGTTACAAGCAAACATACAAACACACAAGTGAAGCTAATATAAAGCGTGTAATTAAATCGTGTAAACCGTCTACATTGTTATTTTTTGGTTGTTCTAAAGGTCAGTTGTTGTCTAACACACAAAATAAACTCTATCTGTTATACTAACCTTATCCCACGGCTTCACTTTGTTTAATGGCGATTTTATCAAATAACTATCTAACAGCCGCAACTTCGTATGCGTCTCTCAATAGTAATAAATTTTCTCCGATTTTGAAACATTCTTCATTGGTGCTCCGCTCCTATTGGTCTTAGCGTGATGATATATAGCCTATATCCTTCCTCGATAAATGGGCTATCTAACACTGAAAGAATTTTTCAAATCGGACCAGTAGTTCCTGAGATTAGCGCGTTCAAACAAACAAACAAACAAACTGTTCAGCTTTACAATATTATCAAATAACTAGCTGACCCGCGCAACTTCGTCTGCGTCTCTCAATAGTAATAAATTTTCTCCGTTTTTGAAACATTCTTCATTGGTGCTCCGCGCCTATTGGTCTTAGCGTGATGATATATAGCCTATAGCCTTCCTCGATAAAAGGGCTATCTAACACTGAAAGAATTTTTCAAATCGGACCAGTAGTTCCTGAGATTAGCGCGTTAAAACAAACAAACAAACAAACTGTTCAGCTTTACAATATTATCAAATAATAATAAGCCCTTTATTCTGAATTATTAGCCCTTTATCATACAATATTAAACAGTTTAGAAGTTAAGTTTATAAAATATCTCTTAATTCAGAGTGCCTCTTGGCATAGCACTTTACCTCCTGCGCAACTCCTGTGCACCTCTAGCACTTTCCATTGGGTTCTGTCTCGCGCTACCCTTCTCCAGTGATGTCCAGCTGTTAGCCTCAGGTCATCTGCCCATCTCGCTTGTTGGCGTCCTCTGTTTCTTTTGCCATCTCTGGGCTACCAGTCGCAGATAGTTGTACTCCATTTCCCATGCCTGTCCCTAATTCATAATTATGTAATAATAGTAAGATTGTGAAGAATTTATTAATCGATTTTGTATTTAAACATTACGGACATTATAAACGCTTTTCTTCATAAATTTGACTGCACGAATGGCGTAAATGTTTAACCGGTCAACTCTCCGCTTCCTTCTGTTCCGTTGTGGTTCCATCCCCACATGGGACAACACTTTGTGTGATCCATTGTATGTTCTGAGTCTGGACGCTCTTTGTGTCCGTTACATAAATGTTTGTAAAATCCCCGCGACATAGGATTATTTTGAAAGTGCGGAAGTTGTATTTTAAAACAAAAATAATAATATTTAAAACTGAATACGTAATTAATGTCTACGACATTCTCTAACGTTCAACCTTGGAGTGTTTTAGAAATTTTACAAGGTCCAAATAAATAGTTGTAATTGTTCAGAATAATTTGCATAACTAATAAAAATTAAACGTGAGTACAGTAAGTACAGTACACAAATACAGGGCCTCAATTCTGCTATTTAATGTTCACGCCAAGCCACTGTCATACCACTGACACGCTATTGAGATGCCATCGAGTGGATATTGGCATCGGTATAAATATCGGTAGTCTACACTAACTCAGTGTCTTTACAGTGGCAATGGAATGGCAGTGACTCATCAGTGGTGATATCAAAAAGATTGCTATATTTGGAAAAATAAATAAATCATTTCCTCAAAAAAACGTAATATATTTTCAAATTTTAGGGAGACTGGTAGACTACCGATATTTATACCGATGCCGATGGCCAGTCGATGGCATCTCAATAGCGTGTCAGTAGTATGACAGTGGCTTGGCGTGAACATAAAATAGCAGAATTGAGGCCCAGTACATAAGTCCGTGTGGTGACGGATTAAGAATACGGTATGTCACCACCCCTATTCATCCCGTGGGTGTCGTAAGAGCCGACTAAGGGAGAAAACTACGCAGGAGAACAGCAATGCAAAGAGAAGGAAAACTTGAAACAAACCCTATATCAACCCGTCTGGCCAGCATGGTATAGTAGGCCAAAATCTTCTTTCTAAGGAGAGGCCTATGTCCAGCAGTGAACTGTTATAGGCTGTTGATGATGATGATGATAGTACATATTCAAATTCCTATTACGATAAAAATAGTTTTGATAACATAAATATTCTCCACGCGCTCTAACTGAAGTAGTAGCATTATACCGGACAACTTTTTTTAAATCACTGTTCAATCAAATATAACTTTTACGTTTAAAGCCGTAGGGTTGTAAATCGTTTGTTAATAAGATGTAGGTAGCATTATAGCTACCAACTTTGTGTAATCCGCTGTTCAATTGAATGTAGCTCTTTAAGTATTACAAATAAGGTTGTAAATGATGTGTTAATTGTTTTTTTTTTGGACAAAGTTTTAACTTTATAACATTTATCTACGATTGTGTTAAATAAATCCAGTAGTAATTAAACATTGCTTAGAATATGTTGTCTTTAGTAATACTGTTAAGTGTCACGGGAGTGGTAAGTAATAATATTAACTTAATTATATTACTTAATTATAACTTAACTTAGATAGATAGATAAATACTTTATTTGTACACCAGGGTTTTACAGACATTATAAAGTACAGTGAAATTAGTCTCGAGAAATCGCATATGTAGTGGTGTGTATATTACTCAGATGTTAGAGCGCGTTTCCACTATATCGTTCTGGCCTATACAAAAATGTTTCGATATCCTAACATTACTATTTAATTTTATACTTATCCCTAGCAACACTCTGATTTTTGTTTTCAATAAAAACAAGTTTTTATTTTAAAGAAAAAGGTTTTGACTTTATAAAAAAAAAGGTGTGTGTGCGATTCACACACGATAGAAGTGAAACTTCAAAGAGGAGAGACCGATATTTAAATATTTTTTTTTCCTTTCATCTAGGTTTTTAAACCTCCGGGTGGGTCTACGGGGGGGTCAAAATTTTTGTTATTTTTGGCCTAGGACGCACCGTTTCCGAGATATTTCAATCTAAAGCAAAAAAACGTCACTTGATAGTGGAAAGTGGAAACACGCACAAAACCAGAATAAACCTGTTTACGCTGTCCGCTACCATACACTACTACAAAAATTTCTCCAAGCTAATTTACCTGTAATTAACAACAGATGTAATGTACAAAGGGCGGCCTTATCGCTTAGTGCAATTTCTTCCAGGCAACCTTTTGATGGACTGGATTCATTTTGAACTGGTGATAGCTATACAGGAATTAGAGAAAAAATTAGGTCTTAACCTATGAAATATTCATTATATATAAAACCTACTAATCTTTATTTATACATTAATAGTATAAATACATACGTAACTTAATAAACGTTAATAAACTTAATTATATTACTTAATTGACGGGCCTGTTGGTCTAGTGGTTAGTGACCCTGACTGCCAAGCCGGAGGTCGTGGGTTCTATTCCCACCCAGGACAAATATTGTGTGGTGAGCACGGTCATTTGTTCTGTGTCTGGGTGTAATTTATCTATAATATGTATGTATTTAAAAATATATAATTATGTTTATCAGCAGTCTGGTTACCATAGTACAGGCTCTGCCTAGTTTGGGATCAGACTGCCGTGTGTGAGATGTGTGAAGTTGTTATTATTAAACTTAACTTAATTATATTATATTAACTTAAATATATTAACTCGCTTTTATTCTAGTGATTGACTGTTAAGCCTTAAGTCGTGGGTTTGATTACACCCAGGACAAATAATTTCGTGATGAGCACGATAATTTGTTCTGTGTCTGGGTGTAATTTATCAGTAAATAATATGTTTGTATGTTTATCAGCAGTCTGGTTAACATAGGATAGGCTTTGTCTAGTTTGGGATTAGACACCCGTGTGTGACACATACATATCACCGACAACCGAATGGCGTAGTATTTTGTGTAACGGACTGCTATTCCCAAGGTCACGAATTCTATTCCCACTCAAGTCAAACATTTCTGTGCATGAACATTTAATGTCTGGGTGTTTCTATGTATAATATGTATGTATTTACAAAAAGGTGTTTATGTTTGTTTCAGTTGTCTAGTATAGATGGCGTTGTGTGAATGTGGTACAATATTATTATCTATATATATATATATATCTATAATGATATAATATAAGAGATTTCCACGTATATAGTCACTCATCACGATATCTCTGAAACCATTAGAGCTAAAGACTTGAAATTTGGTAGGAATATTCTTTTCACCGAGTAGAGGTCAGCTAAGAACGGATTTTAAGAAAAAAAAAAATTAAATAATGTAAATAGCAAAACAACGATTGCAGGGTCAGCTAGTATTATTATAAAAGACATCCAGACACAGAACAAATGGTGGAATCGAACCTACGACCTTCGGTTTAGGAGTCGGGCCTGTCAATTTACCATAAAAGGCGTCAGTTTTAAAGTAATTATAGACTATTATTATTTCATGATTAGTCTTAGTCACTGCGGTTTCATCTGTAAAATCACTGCTAGGATTTGGTCATAGACAAATATAAATGCCATCAAAAACTCAAGCAAAGAAAAACCAAACTTTTTATCAAAGACCTTTTTTTGTTAGGCCTTTCGCGATTCTGGCGCTATCGTAACCATAATCATATTGACTGCACGGTTGGCGTAGTGGTTTACGCGGTCACCACGATGTTTACTACTACTTGTGTGATCCACAAATTGTTGTTCTGAGTCTGGGCGTTCTTTGTGTCCGTTTCATGTATGTTTTTAAAATTTCCCGCGGTACAGGATATATTCCTAGTGTGGGAGTTGACTTTGAAAATAAATAGTACGTTTTGGCGGATTTATTGAATTTTGTGCAGAACCTGTCATCTGTAAGTCCGACTCACACAAAACTTCCCATGGATTATGTAAACAATGTATGTTACACATTTTACGGGTATGTTTTAACCATGTATAACGAGGTCGTGATTCGATTCGTGTGACTAATTAATGATTATATAATTGGCTCACTAAGCAGGAAATGTAAAAAATTCTAGATGCTATTTTTCTTTTGCATTTTAAAGGACAGCGTACCTCCATAATCATATTGACTGCACGGCTGGCGTAGTGGTTTACGCGGTCACCACGATGTTTACTACTACTTGTGTGATCCACAAATTGTTGTTCTGAGTCTGGGCGTTCTTTGTGTCCGTTTCATGTATGTTTGTAAAGTCCCCCGCGATACAGGATATATTCCTAATACGGGAGTTGTTTTTAAAAATAATAATAATAATATAATCACTAGATTTGTAAATTAGTCACACCTGTAACCCTATACCAACCCGTCTGACAAAACCTCCTTTCTAAGGAGAGGTCTATGTCCAGCAGTGGACTAGTAAAGGCTGATGGAAGATTTTCGAATGTATAATGTGTGTTTATTTCTTTAACACGCTCTGAGGCCCATTTTTGTTGATGGGGTGGACAATCCCTTCAGATCTACGGCTCCTTGGGGCCGCAGGAGCCAGAAGTATGTGTTGTTGCCACTAAAGGGGAGGACTCTGGGGAGGCCCGGACCAGGTTATTTCTGGTCCTACCCGAATCAATAGCACGCCTAACCACGCCATATCCCAGCACGCTCTAAGGGCCTCCTAGTGTGACTTTATTTCACATCGACTCACTCTCTATTACTCTAAACAAACTCACACTGGACTGGACTTGACTCTTTGTAGTCCCGCCGCCCGCAACTCCGCCCATGGGTATGCGGTCTGGCGGTCTTAGGGAATAGGCTGAGGCGGTTGTTTACCAGCTGCCTCCGTAATAGCGTATTCCCTTCCGGTTGGAAGGAAGCCAGGCTGGTATTTATCCAGAAAACTGGCAAGGCTGCAGATTTTCCCTCGTCGTTCCGACCAGGGGGCGAAACTCTTTGGAAGAGTTATTGCCTGACTTATCAGACAACCAATTAAAATGCCCATTTTAGTCTAAACGGCTTTATGCGTTTTGGTTTTAGATTCATTTTAATTGTGAGAACGACATTGGGTATAACATGTAAATTATAACAATTCAAATCGCTAGTTTGTAAGTTTTAAGTACCGGAAGCATGTCTTAATTCGTTTTTTTTTTTGTATTTACAGTTGTGCACAGATAAAGATGGAGGCAAAGCATTCAGGATACCGCTTAACGACGGCAATGCCATTCCAGCTTTGGGACTTGGTACCTTCCTGGGATTTGATGAGGTAGGTACCATTTAAAGACATACGGGGCCAGTTATACGACTGACGCCTGGGTGCCGTTAATGGCAATCTATAAAAGCCAATTTTAAAACATATTTATATTTTTCTAAATGTTAAAAAGTCATTTTCTAGTTCCTAAGTTGATGTAAGGTTTTTTGGTTACAAATTTTATGTTATTTCTTTTTGTTGGTCTGAGTTTTGTAATTGTTTATTTTAAGTCAAATTAGTACAGATATAAGCGATTTGGGTAAACACTGTGTTGCTTATATTTAATTAATAAAGAATTGAGTTTATTTATTTATTTATTTATTTAATCTTAGGTTTGCCTACAATTGTTACACCTTTCTTAAAAATAATACATGCATGTTTTATAGAATATAGGTGTACAACATTAATTGGCAAACACAACATTTATGAGAAAAAAACGGATATTAGGGTAACACATGATAGATAACTTGTACTCGTATTATTTTTACAATTTAATTATTGCACTTGCACTTACTGTGACAATTGTTGGTTTAGAGAAAAAAATGATACAAGAGAAAAAAAAAAAAACAGACAAAAAATAAAAACAAGTAATCGACAAAAGGGTTATAAAATAAACACAGAGCTAACAAACATATTATATACATACATATTTGTAAAACTTATAGTTGACAGTCTGATTTACTCTGGCTACTAAAACTGATTAGTTCTGCCGCGAACTTGGCTCTTAAATCTATTAAGACTGGTGTTAAGCATGTCTATTTTTTTACCGAACTTATTATAAAGTCTAGTCAGTCTGGGTATGGGAGAGTGAAAGCCGAGGACCGTTTTACGTGATGGTGGGTATAGTAGATTGACAGGATTTCGGGGATACTTACGAGGGACATTAAAATTTATTTTAGATAATAATTGGGGGCAATCAATATAATTATTTACTAGTTTATATAAAAAAATTAGGTCGAGTGATTCTCGTCGTGTATCAAGCGATATTATATTAAAGGTTTGTAGTCGCTTAGCGTAACTTCGCGTCCTTTTTGAGATACCAGCGGAATAAGCTAGATGATGCAAGAACCTTTTTTGAATGCGTTCTATTCTAAGACTATGCGTAGCATAGTGCGGCCTCCAAACGACCGAACAGTATTCGAGAACGCTTCGAACAAAACAGTTGTACAATAATGTTTTTGTTTTTGGGTTGTGGAAGGGTTTGGCATTGCGAATTACAAAGCCAAGCGCTTTTGAAGCCTTCTTGATAGCTGCATCAATATGAGGTATAAAAGTCAGTTTTTTCTCAAGAATAACGCCCAAATCTTTTATACTCTCACTTCTGTTCAAACAATAGCCATTCATACGATAAGCTTTATTTATACATTGCAGTTTTCTGGTAAAAGTAATTTTGTTGAATTTGAGTTGAGTTGAATTGTGTAAGAGCCATTATTCAACATAAATGGGCCGGCTCCCCCCACTCTTCGCAGATTTTAGGGAGAAGGTTTTGGTATTGGTTGTGGGCTCCTTTATGCGTCGATTAAAGGTAATACGATATGATATAATAATGATAGTTATGATGAATTTTAAATAAACTGTATTCTTTACTTCCTTTTTTAAGCCTATTATTTATTCTAGATAGTATTTATTCTTCAAATTTGAATGAGACCGAATGGGAAGAATACACTCTCAAATAAAAATATATTTCTTTGTTTGTTACGCTTTCATACCTAAACCACTAAACCGATTTAAAAAAATATTTCATCATTGGAAAGCTACATTACCAGCGAGTAACATAGGCTAAAACCGATATACAAAGTAAGTATTTTCATAATAGATAAAGATTTGAATAAACAAACATAAAAATAATACACCCTGGTTGAGAAGATTCTCTTTTTTTTTAAAGTCGGTTTGAAAATACTTGACGTAGTATGTTTTTAGGTGATAAAGTGCCCTATGCCCTTTTATGTATTTCTTTTGATAACATTCAGCCGTTTAGGCGTAAAAGCGGCCATTCAAATCGAAACAAACATTAATTTTCGTTCAAAATGTGTAACACGATAAGATATCCACGTATATAAATATTTAACATATGTTTGTTTGCTATATGTATATGTATTTAATAATAAATATGGCTCGAATATGACCAGTTTAACTTGAGCTGTAATTGTATAGGTACTATATGTACTTCCAGTGCCTTGACTGCCTCGGTGGTGAAGTGGTTTAATCTGCAAATATTAGTTTCGGAGTTTGGGTGTTTTCTAAATATAAGTAATAGTAAAAAAGTAGATATATAGGTATACTATCAGTCAATCTAGCTTTCATAGTACAAAGTCTCCTTAGTTTGAAACTAGATGGCGTTGTGTGTCAGGTGTCCTAAAATATAATAATAATAATATCTTACACACGGCCGTCTGGTCCCAAACTAGGCAGAGCCTGTACTATGGTAACCAGACTGCTGATAAACATACTTATATATTCCTAAATACATACATGTTATAGATAAATTACACCCAGACACAGAACAAATGACAGTGCTTACAGAGATAGGTCACTCCTTAGAAAGGAGTTCTTGGCCCACTACACCACACTGGCTAGGCGGGGTGGTTTTCCTTCTCTTTGTAGTGCTGTTGTCCTGCGTAGTTTCCTCCCTTAGTCGGCTTTTACGACACCCACGTGATGAATAGGAGTGGCGCCATTCTGCATTCTTAATCCATCACCACACGAAACATCACATCACACCAACAGCCTTTAATAGTCCACTGCTGCACATAAGCCTCTCCTTAGAAAGGAGGTTTTGGCCTACTATACCACGCTGGCCAAGGTTTGTGTCAAGTTTTCTTTCTTTTTGCAGTTCTGTTTTTAAATACACACTTTTCACCACGTAATAAACCAAACTTCTTACACGCTCGAGTATTTCTGACCATCGATTTTTTTTTACTAAGCTGTTGAGCTGCCCGAGACGCTCGGCCCTATATGTGATGCTCATGTATGGTGGTTGTACTCGACTGGGTGTAAAGTATTTCTCCTATATTAATCCGCCACGATCGAGTAAATCCCGACATCCCTTCTAAGGCACCCCTTTTTTTTTTTTCCCGTGCGGAAATCCCCTCGGATACCACCTGTCCACCACGGAACCGACTAAAACCGCACTCCGTCTCGGGTACTAATAGCCGGGGAACCAGGTATACCCTAGAAAGGAAGTCCCTGGTGCCCCGACATACCTCGGGTCATCTACAGACGAGTAGACGACCCCCCCCCCCTTGTGGGAACCCCATGTTCCCTGTGCTCCCTGGAAGCGAGCGCGCTTCGCAACGCGCTCGCCACCACCCCGGCCTGCTTCTGCTAGGGTGACAGATGGCCTCACCTGTCACCCCCAGGCCTGCGCTTATGGAGGACGGAGGTCGTTCTGCGTCTAAGGCACCCCTACTAAAAAACACTGTTAAATAATGAAATTAAATTTTCAGACGTAATGTTAGTTTTTTTAATGTCTTATGTGTGGTTGTTGGCCTCAGATGGCCTCGACAAACTAGCGCGGGCTCACGCTTGAGTGCTGGGGGCACTGAACCAGTTTGTAAAAAGCTTTGAAAAACTCGACTTAAGAAGTAAGAAGGCATGATATTCTTACTACCTCTAATAAAGACCGAACAGTGACATCTAGTGACAGCGAATGAATTTAATAAAATGATGTTCAAAAAAATCCTGGTATTTATTAAGTATACCTTCTTCAAGAAACAAGTGAAAGAATTCTACATGGGAGACGTCAATGTCAATTAACTTCTAGAAAGTCGACAAGGTCACATTATTTCTCAAAATATGTAAATTAAGAACTTATAAATTACACATAATGATATAATGTATCATTGATGATTTTTTGTATGATTGATGGATTATTGATTGCAGTAAATATATTTATGTTGAATATTGAATGTTTTAGATTAAATGAATTAATGTAGACGGTTAATAGTTGATAATGTATACCTATAACCATGATATTCGAGTCCTTTCGTTGTAATTGTTTTTTCTTCTTTTTTTGATTTTTTTAAAATGTTATTAAACGATTTTATGTTGCATGTAGAAAGATGCTATTGTTAAATTAATTTTATATTTGTACACCGGTAACGGTCAAACATGTCGATCAGGCAATATTATTTAACATCTTTAATGTACACATGTTTATGCAAATAAAATATCTTGTATCTTGTATTTATTTAATTATATGTATCTAATAACACCACCAGCCGTGTTCAGCACATAATAATATATATTATCTCTAGCATGTTATATATTCACATTAGTCCAACAAATAGATACATATAGCTATGTATATACTACTCTGATTTCATCTTCTTTTCTATTTCCTAATACACCAGCCAATACCTCCTCCCCTTCATGTTTCCTCTCCATACCACGGTTGTCTGTAAGAGATTGCCTCTGAGCGATAAGGCCGCCATTTGTACTAACCTAGTTTAAGACAATAAAGGGATATATGAATATTCTACCTGACAATGAAATCTTAGATTATTTCTGTATGAAACGCTAAACTCTTTTTTTTCATTCAAGTGTCTGAAAAGGTTATGTATCCAAGTTATTTTATGTATAGGGGGCAATCAAGCAAACGTGTCACAGATGGCAAGTGGACACCCGCAAGTCATGAGACAAAATAATAATAATATTCTACCACATTGACACAACGCCATCTAGTCCCAAACTAAGCAGAGTTTGTACTATGGGTACTAGACAACTGATATAAATACATATATAATTTCTTTTTGTAAATACATACATATTATACATAGAAACACCCAGACCAAATCAAACATTAAATGTTTATGCACACAAATGTTTGACTTGTGCGGGAATCGAACCCGCGACCTTTAGAATAGCAGTCCGTTACACAAACCACTACGCCATTCGGTCGTCATAAAGTACATTATCAAAAGTACATTACCTCTCTGTGACTGCCTCCCTCCCTCACTCCCCACTCGAATTCTGCTAATCATAGTTTTTATCATTCAAGTGTCTAAAATGGAAGGCTTCTGCAATAAACTACCTTATATTGTTACAGAATGGTCAAAAACCGGTAACAGAACATGAGGTAGATTACCCCGTGACATGGGCTCTGGAAGCTGGTTACAGGTTCGTGATCATCATATTTACTTAGCAGGTCATCACTGATGATTACAAATTAGAAACGCAGGACTTATCAGCTTGATATCTTAGACGTTGGTTCATAATTATATTATCAAAGACTGCTGCCCCCACAGAATTCATTCTGTCAAAAGCTATTGGCCTGTCGTAATATTATTTTCTTTGATCACACATCATCAATCACATCAACAGCCTATAACAGTCCAGTGCTGGACTTAGGCCTCTCCTTAGAAAGGAGGTTTTGGCCTACAATACCACGCTGGCCAGACGGGTTGGTATAGGGTTTGTGTTAAGTTTTCCTTCTCTTTGCAGTGCTGTTGTCCTGCGCAGTTTGTTCCCTTAGTCGGCTCTTACGACACCCACGGGATGAATAGGGGTGGTGACATTCCGTATTCTTTATCCGTCACCACACGGTTTATTTTCTTTGATGACACGCAAACTCTTTTTTTCTTCAAACTTTAATTTGGGTAGGCATAAACAAACATCTAAACAGCCAAATTAGCCATATACCAAAGATATATGTATTAGTTTTAATAATTAAGTGAATGAAGTAAATAAAACAACTGTCAATAAAGCAAATAAATAAATTAAGTAATTAATACATGTGCTCTCAGAATGATAGACACAGCAGCTTCCTATCACAGCGAGGACCAGGTTGGACTTGGAGTTAGAGCATCGTCAGTATCCAGGGAGAACATTTTTATAGTCACCAAGGTAACCGTTTTTTATCATCATCAAGCCTTTATTAGTCTACTGCTGGACATAGGCCTCTCCTTAGAAAGGAGGTTTTGGCCTACTATAACACGCTGGCCAGACTGGTTGGTATAGGGTTTGTGTCCAGATTTCCTTCTCTTTGCAGTGCTGTTGTCCTGCTTAGTTTGCTCCCTTAGCCAACTCTTACGACACCCACGGGATGAATAGGGGCAGTGACACTCCGTATACTTAATCCGTCACCTTACGAACACAGATGCAATGGGAGAGGCCTAAATCCTGCAGTGGACTGCGATATTACACATCAATACCCAAATATTACCCCTATTTTTCGAGCAAGAGTAAAAGAAAGACTACCTAATATCTAAACCATCTCACAATCTTTTGACAGGTACCGTCAAATGAACAGAGAGAGGTGGTGCCATCTCTGAAAAGATCTTTGGAACGATTGAACATGTCTTACGTTGATCTATATTTGATTCACACCCCTGTCACTCATAAGGTAAGAAAGCACCAAAAGTATTAACTGTTTTCATCTATACTTACATTATAAAACTAGCTGAGACCCACGGTGTTACCCGCGTTTGTTGTTATAACAGCAGGCAACGCTGCGAGGCGAAGCTGGTCAAAAAAAAGTAGCCTAAGTTACTCCTTATGTCATCAGCTATCTGCCACTGAAAGTCCCGTCGAAATCCGGCCACCCATTCCAGAGATTACCCGGAACAAACTGACAGACAGATAGACAGACAAAAATTGTAAAAAATGTTATTTTGGCATATGTACCGTGTAAACATACATATGCATTTAGTAAAAAGCAGTTATTTTAATATTACAAACAGACACTCCAATTTTATTTATTTGTATAGATGTGAAAGTGAATTTGTTTGTTCCTTAACCACTTCATTATTTGTTAGTCTAATACTAATACTTGACTGCACGGATGGCGTAGTGGTTTAAGTGGTCGCCACGCCGCTTTCTACTACACCGAGTGTTGTGGGTTCAAACCCCACATGGGACGACACTTTATGTGATCCACAAATTGTTGTTCTGAGTCTGGGTGTTCTTTGTGTCCGTTTCATGTATGTTTGTAAAGTCTCCCGCGACACAGGATATATTCCTAATGCGGGAGTTGTCTTTTTACCAAAAAAACTTATGTTGTGATGTTGAATTTCAGCCTGATTCAAGTGGATTCGACAATATTGACTACTTAGACACCTGGAAGGGGATGGAGGAGACCAAAAAACTGGGCCTCGCCAAGTCTATCGGGATCTCCAACTTTAACATCAGTCAAATTCAGAGGCTTTTGAAGAACTGTGAGATTAAACCCACTGTGCTGCAAGTCGAGGTATGTATCAACGGCAGTGAGTTGGACCTAGAGACAGGAGGGAGATTACCTAATCAAAGTCTCGAGGTTAGAGCTCCTGACTGCTAAGCCGGAGGTCGTGGGTTCGATTCCTACCCTGAACAAATAGTTGTGGGATGAGCACGATCATTTGATGATGACGACCGAATGGCGTAGTGGTTTGTGTAACCGACTGCTATTCCAAAGGTCGCGGGTTCGATTCCCGCACAAGTCAAGCATTTGTGTGCATGAACATTTAATGTTTGATTTGGTCTGGGTGTTTCTATGTATAATAAGTATGTATTTACAAAAAAAAAGTATATATGTATTTATATTAGTTGTCTAGTACCCATAGTACAAGCTTTGCTTAGTTTGGGACTAGATGGCGTTGTGTGAATGTGGTAGAATATTATTATTATTATTATATTATTATTTGTTCTATGTCTGGGTGTAGTTTATCAGCAGTCTGGTTACCATAGTACAGACTAGTTATGGATCAGACGGCCGTATTTGAGATGTGTTAGTATTATTATTAAATATTTTTCTTCAGAACTAAAGGTGTGTACCAAATGTTAGACCAGTCTGTTAAGAGGAAGGGGGTAAAATTTTAATTACTAAATTTGACTCAATAAACACCAAATAGGACAAAATAAATAAAACCATTTAATACCGTAAAATATATAATACAATACCATAAACACCATCATCATCACCATCATCAACAGCCTTTAACAGTCCACTGCTGGACATAAGTTCTCCTTAGAAAGGAGGTTTTGGCCTACTATACCACACTGGCCAAACGGGTTGATAAAGGGTTTGTGTTAGGTTTTCCTTCTCTCCGCAGTGCTGTTGTTCTGCGTAGTTTTTTCCCTTAGGTCGGCTCTTACGACACCCACGGGATGAATAGGGGTGGTGACACTCTGTATTCTTAATCCGTCACCACACGGCAACACCATACCACAATAATACCACCAACACCACCAATACCATACCATAATAATACATGTGATCATCATCTGATTATACATTGTTTACTCCCTTCCTAGCCATATCCTCACCATCCACTTTCTCTTTGGTCTTCCTCTTCTCTTGTACACTTCAACTCCCATTCCTAACACTTTCTTCGCCAAATTCTCTCATCCCTCCGCATGACATGGTATGGACAATATCATACCTGTATGAGAGTAAAAACTGGAATTCCCACCATTTTTTGCAGGTAAACCTGAACTTAGCTCAAGAGGATCTCATAAAATACTGCAAATCTCATGATATAGTGGTAATGGCATACACACCATTTGGATCATTATTTAATAGGGAAGCTGACCCCACAGCCACCAGGGCTGATGACCCAATACTAGTGGAGCTGGCCAAAAAGTATACGAAGACTGTTGCTCAAATTTCTTTAAGATATCTTGTGAGTATTTTTAAACGACTTCGAACAACAAAGAGTGTATGTGTGTTTGATTTTTTTATGACGTTCAATGGCCAAAAGACACAGATCTATTATAGCCCTGTGTTTTTTTTTGGGTCCTCAGTAACCTTACTCGCTTACATCATTAACACACATCAACAGCCTTGGACATAGGTCTCCCCTTAGAAAGGAGGTCTTGGCCTACTATACCACGCTGGCCAGACGGGTAGGTAAAGGGTTTGTGTTAAGTTTACCTTCTCTTTGCAGTGCTGTTGTCCTGCGTAGTTTGCTTTCTTAGTCGGCTCTTACGACACCCACGGAATAAATAGGGTGGTGAAAACCAATAAAAGATTGCCTAACACAGGTTTTCTGTGAGGCCGTGGTATCACTATGCTGGAACCAGCCCTCATATTGCTGTGAGCTGATTTTTAATTCAGAGGTTTTGGGTTCGATTCCCACCACCTGAGGCTTTGCCCAAACTACGTTGGAGTCGTCTTTCAGTCAAAGTACTACGACACGGATGAACTTCGATTTTTACGTTGATCGACTGCCATCAGACCTTCACAACCCAGACCCCGAGACTCGGAGGATTCCTAATGTGTTAAGAATGGTCACCCATCCATAGACTGACTTGGCAAGGGTTGCTTAACTTTGAAATTTGTTACCACATAGCCACGAGCCACCTGAGCTTAAAATTAAGAATATGAAAATGATGGAGATGATAAGGTTGATTTCTCTATTACAGGTACAAAAAGGAGTTGTACCTATTCCAAAGTCAGTCAACAAGAAGAGAGTGGAAGAGAATATTAAAGTCTTTGATTTTGAATTATCCGCAGAAGACATGGAGACTTTGAGTAAGTTAAACTATCCCTAATTCTAAGAATGGTTTGTGACTGATCTGCCGGTCTAGTCGTTGAGGATCCTGGCTGTTAAGTCATAGGCTGTGGGTTCGATTCCCACCAATTTGAAGACAGGAACGTAAAAGTGTCATTAGACTTGCAACTTGCCCCTGGCTTCCCTCAGGATAGTGCGTAGTTAGGTGCAGTGTCGATAAGGGGGGGCCCGAAAATAACATGGTCCGTGTCCTCTGGAGAGTAAACCTGAGGCCAGCCGTCCTGGTGTTTTTTTTGACTTTCAAATTACCAATACATGTATGCATAAAGACGTAGGTAAGTGCTATAAATCAAACATGCTTAGTTTTATAAAAGTTTCGTTTCATAAAAGTTATTCGGTGGGACTTGGTTTAGCCAGAGATCGTGGGCTCAATTCCCACCCACGACAAATAATTGTGTGATGAGCACGACCGTTTGTTCTACATCTGGTTTATCTATAACTAGCTACTTCTGGCGGCTCCGCCCGCCTATTTCTAGCCAATGTCTTTCCTCAAGAATCAAAGTATCTCCATACCAAATTTAATGTAAATCTGTTCAACCAGGTATTCCCTAGAGAGGAAAGTCCTAGTACCTTTAAAATTAACCTGACCGTAAGTGTGACCGTAAGACCGTGACATTTGTACCACACTAGCCTTTTCAAACTATCTCCATACCAAATTTCATCCAAATCGGTATTGCGGTTATGGATTTCCCATACAAACTTCCACCCCCCTTTTCACCCTATGTCCTTTCCCGGGGCTCGGACTATCTCTATACCAAATTTCATTTAAATCGGTTCAGCAGGTTCAAAGAAGTAACAGGCAGAAACACTTTCGCATTTATAATTTATTTTGTATGTATTTAAAAATATATAAGTATGTTTATCAGCAGTCTGGTTACCATAGCACAGGCTCTGCCTAGTCTGTGATCAGACGGTCGCCAGTGAGTTATTTCAATTTATTATTCTCCCATTCTTTTATTTTATTAATGAATCGCGTCATCATTTTCAGGCAAATTCAATAAGAATTACAGAGTGGTACTCCCGAGTTTCTGGCAAGATCATCCTTATTACCCATTCGAGAGGGTCGACGTACCAGCTAAGGACTTATTCTCTGGATAAAGTTAAGGAGGAACTGCTTTTATCACAACATAAAGCCCTTTGCTCACATGGTTTCTCAATAAAAATTTATTCTAAAATGGCTTTTAGTGTTGGAATTAAGTTCTTTATCGGGTGTTACACGCAGAGCGGATGGGAGCGAGACCGAAAAATATGTAACAAGACGTTTTTCCGACACTTCTTGCGATAGTACGCTTGGGTCTTTTAGACTAAGCAACGGATTTTTATGCGGTTTTCACCAATAGAGAGAGCGTGATTCAAGAGAAATACCCCAAACACCCATAGACCCCTACGTTCTTTTTATTCTAGTGGTGTGCTAATGAGATATACTGACTGTTGGAAATGTGCCAGCTCGACCGAGTGACGCCACGGTCTCACAGAAAACCGCTGTTATGTAATCGTTGCTTTTCACCGAGTGGGTGAAGTCACCAGAGCCCAAATCTCCTCTCCCCCTGATTCTGGTGGGGGGACTCAAAAGCAGCAACGCAGCTGATGGTAAGTAACTACCACCACCCACGGACATCTGCAACTCACGGTCACCTGAATCACAAGTGCGTTGCCGCCTTTTGTGAATTCCCCCCCTAATTGGGAGGGAGGGGTGGAAGTTTTGGGCTTTGGTAACGTCACTCACTCGGTGTTAAGTTACGAAAGAATTACTCAACAGCATTGCTCCAATGGAACCAGTACATCTTAGGCGAAGCATGGCTCTCCCACGACATTTAATAAATTCTTGAGTAAATAAAAAAAACGGTTTATTATTTGCAGTTCTTTATTTTTGAACAAGTTATAAAGTAACAAAAATAATTTAGATAAAATATATGACCAGCATAATAACAATTACAACATATTATGAATAACAAAAAACATTTGGTTTTCATTTCCGTTACGTTACGGTCGAATCTTTGTAACGTAACAGAAATGTCAGACCCAATGGCGTAATATGAATACTAATGTCATTTAATTTTAATAACTTTTTAAAGATTGTGAAGCTTAGATTTATTTATCTAGAAAGTTTCGCACTACAAAACAACTACCAACAGTTGGACGCTATTTTTTTCTACGCTTTTACATGTTTGACAGTCTATCAGTAACATATCAATGATCTAAGATTATGCGTCTATTATTGTACACTTTAATAGAAGGAATGCAAATATTAAATTCTTTAAAAAACAAAAGTGCCTTCAACAAAGTTGATAACGGTAAATTATTTTAAGGTTATATTTTGTTTTTTTTTTATTCAAATATAAAAAGTAAATCTAAGCAAAAAAACCTGAGATGATGCTGTCTAAATAACTGTCAAAAGCAAGCAAAGTTCAATGCAGTTTAAATTATCAAAATTTTATAGCCATTCCCAAGAAAAGTAAGTCCCAGTAAACATACCTACATAAATATATTAACCTCGTCTTTTTTGAAAAAAAATCCTACCGTAGTTTTTTTTTTACAAGAAAATGACATTTGTATTCAATTTACGTAACGAATACAATAGCTTAATTCTACTTATTTGTAGTTCAGCAGGCATAGACAAGTGGCTATTTATTTTGTACAACTAGAATCACAGTCAGAAATCGAAAAAATATTATTTAAATTAGTATTAAAGGAATACTTATTCTGATCCAAAAGGTATGTGGGCTCTAAGGAGTGACTTTAGACAGAATTAAGCAGAATAAAAACGCGCGAAACTTACAGTAGCAGACGTAACGCGTAACATCTGACAGCCAACTCTAGCAACACATGCGCTTATTGGTAAAATTAAAATAGCGTGCTTCCGCGGCTTTTTGTTACACATTTTAAAGAGCATAGTGTGAGTTTATTTCACATCTACTCGCTCTTAACAGTGAACGCGTTCCATAGAGATAATTTAGTAAATAGCGCACGCCAATCCCACTTAACTCAATGCTTTGAGGTGTCGCACGGTGCGAGAGAGATCGTTGTCGATCGTTGTCCTCTCTATCTCTCTCTCACTGCATGATTGTGAATATTATGATTAACGTGACTGCGCATGTAAGAATTAAGAAAGAGATAGAGAGCTGCGTGCAACGATCTCTTATGCACGGTAAGAGACCGCGTGCTCTATTTCTTATATTATCTCTATGGCGTTCGGCGTTGCAATTGGTGAATATTGCCATGCGGGCCAATCGCAACACCGATCGCGGCCGCCTTGACAATCGATTAGATGTGAAATAAAGTCACACTAAACCCTCAGTCCTCACCAAATCACTTACACATCCACAGATTACAAAAAAGATAGAGAAAAAAATGTTACATTCCAAAAATTAATGATAGACCCGTTCCATCCTGCAAGATTAGACGAAATTCGGCTCGATCAAACATTGATATTTATGATAAAAATATAAGACAACATTAGGTTTTAAACAACATTAAATAAAATAAGCGTTCGTTAAATCCAAGTGCACTTGTCAACATTCTTAGAAAGAAAAACACTAAGAAACGTTTGCCAATTGAATAAACCTGCGGATTAAATTATTGATTAGATTACAATATTTTTGTGAACTGATTTCTTCTTAACACAATATTTTCACTGAAACAGTGGCGACATCTATGAACGTAGGTACAAAACGAGGTGTAATATATTTAGGGGAGTTATTTTATTGGCAACACTTCTGTGGGTTACTATGGCGTATATATTACATCATTTCTTGTACACGATGAACTCGCTTTGCAGTTCGTCTTCAGGTAAACTTGGATCACATTTTGAATTAGCTTCGAAATCACATTGCTGTGTTGCCTCGTTGAAGAATAAGCCATCGGAACAGTATGCTGCTTGTGCAATACCTCCAACGCACCTCCAGTACCTCTGACAATCACCCCTGTAACGAAAAAAAACATTTATTTCTCAGTAATAAACATCAATCATTTATAAACTTACTTAAGATTTTCATATTTCTTAATTTGAAGATGTCAAACTTCCATACAACCGTTTAACCCCCTTAGGGGCGACACTGCAAAAAAATCAATTCTCAGCAGGTTCTTACAACATGAAAAGCGTCAGCTAAGAAAGTTTTAAGTTTGTAGCCCCCCGGTTTAGGCTCTGCGTTGATGAATCAGTCAGACATTTTTAATTTATTTATTTAATTCTATAGGCACAGATACAATCGTACAATGGCGGACTTAATACCACAGGCATTTTCTCCCAGTCTACATTAGGGTGGTGTTGAAATGCATGACTAGGTGCACTAGACATTGATGTGTAAAATAATATAATATTAGGTATAGAGAAGTTACACAGAAGCAATGAAATAAATATACATACATATGTACTGTTGCGCCAGAATTAAATGGTGCGATTGTATGGAATGTGGAGGACACCGCCATCTAGTATCGACTAAAGTACATCTATTAAAATTGTGATTAATACGAGTAGTTCTGATGCTTACAGCGCTAGATGGCACTGCAAGTGACGCGTGACTGATTCTGGAATATTCTTGTTTTTCCGGAATGGACTATCGAATACTAGGGAACTTTCTAGTAACATTCAAAAGCGCTATAAAAGTGGAGCGTGTTGGCCACGGAGCGTTCGACACAGTATCGTTTTACGACACACCGTATTAACATCGGAGTGAATTTCTAGTGCGATATATAGTGATTTCTAGTTTATTATAGTGAGTGTGGTGTGGTGTGTGGTATGTGACGTGTGGTGACGGATTAAGAATACGGAGTGTCACCACCCCAATTCATCCCGTGGGTGTCGTAAGAACCGACTAAGGGACCAAACTACACAGGACAACAGCACTGCAAAGAGAAGGAAAAACTTGACACAAACCCTATACCAACCCGTCTGGCCAGCGTGGTATAGTAGGCCAAAACCTCCTTTCTTAGGCAAGGCCTATGTCCAGCAGTGGACTATTAAAGGCTGTTGATGTGATTATAGTGAGTGTTTGTAAATTCAGTGGAATAGAGTAATTAACCGACAACTTTTATTTATTATATAACATAACAGTACCAAATACCTCCACAAACATAAATACTTACCTAGTTACATCCATATATATGCCTATATATTAATATTATATACAACTTTAAGGTTGTATTGAATCTGCTAGGGTGTCTAGATTGCGAGCTCGAACTTTCATCTTAAATGACAGGCGGCTGGATGCTATCCTGATTTCCAGAGGGAGGGAGAGGAGTACGGACTAGAGGACGAACTATCTAAAGTGAGTTTGTTTGTTACACTTTCATGCCTAAACCACTAAACTGATTTTCAAAATTCATTCACCATTGGAAAGTTTCATTGTTAGCCAGTAACATAGGCTACTTTTTACCTTCGGGGCAGTCAGGGAATATCCGGGTTCCCACACAGGAGGGGTCATCTATAAGCCGTAGATGGCCCGAGGTACCGGGGCTTTATTTTCTTGGGTATACCTGGTTCCCCGGCTACTGGTACCTGGACGGCGTGCGGTTTTTGGTCGGTTCTAGTCCGACACAATCACCCACTGGTGGGTGGAATCCGAGGGAAGTTCCGCACAGACAAAAAAAAAAGGCTACTGTTTACCGCGTTAACTGACATAAACGCTATATTATTGACGACCGGATGGCGTAGTGGTTTGTGTAACGGACTGCTATTCCAAAGGTCGCGGGTTTGATTCCCGCCCAAGTCAAACATTTGTGTGCATGAACATTTGATGTTTGATTTGGTCTGGGTGTTTCTATGTATAATATGTATGTATTTACAAAAAATAAATAAATATATATGTATTTATATCAGTTGTCTAGTACCCATAGTACAAGCTCTGCTTAGTTTGGGACTAGATGGCGTTGTGTGTATGTGGTAGAATATTATTATTATTATTATATTATTATTGTTACGTGTTAGGGTTTCGTTATTTGAGATATTAATATTGAAGGCATTTGCCTTGCGGCGTATTAATATTCACTCCCTAGACCGTAACATATCTAAACAAATACGTGTGTATTAATGTTTTTACGAACAAATATGAATATAAATTATCTTTAAGAGTTTTTCTCACTTGTAAGCTACGTGTTTCGCCGCTTCGTCAGCTCGGTTGCAATTAATAACGCCGTTGAAGTTTGTCCCTTCTGCAGCCATCGGTCTTACACTCGCTATAGAATCTGCAATGTACAAAAAAAAATATTTTTAAAAAGACAACTCCCGCATTAGGAATACATCCTGTGTCGCGGGGGACTTTACAAACATACATGAAATGGACACAAAGAACACCCAGACTCAGATCACACAAAGTGATTTCCCACGTGAGGATCGGACCCATAACACTGAGCGTAAGCAGTAAGCGGCGTGGCGACCGCGTAAACCACTACGCCATCCGTGCAGTCCAACAAAATACAACGATTAAGGCGACTGGATGCCGTAAACTCAAGAGACTTAGTTAGGAGTGAGTTCACGTGTTGGTGGAAGAGGATTCTGCCACCAAGTCCAATAACCTAAAGAGTCCCTTTGTCAGGGCTGTGAAGGATTCCTTCTCTGCGACTTCAAGGGCTATGGAAAGCTTCGTCGAGGATGTGGACACCGGTGCCCATAATTCATTTTTGTAATTATCTTTTATGGTATAGTAAGAGAATAATGCCGACGATTGACAGTTGCAAGCCAAGGGATGCAAATGCGTTGCCACCTTTTGGGTGCTCACCCCATTAGAGAGAGAGAGAGAGAGAGAGAGAGAGAGAGAGAGAGAGAGAGAGAGAGAGAGAGCGGAGCCTTGGGCTTTCAGTATCTTCACTCACTGTTTAAAAACAGGGAAATAATTGGTTAACTACATGCTAATGTGCTTACGGATTAAGAATACGGAGTGTCACCACCCCTATTCATCCTTTGAGTGTCGTAAGACCCGACTAAGTGAGCAAACTACACAGGACAACAGCACTGCAATTGGAAGGAAATGTTGAAACAAACCCTATACCAACCCGTCTGACCAACGTGGTATAGTAAACCAAATCCTTATTTCTACAGAAAGGCCTATGTCCAGCAGTGGACTATTAAAGATAATGGACTATTAAGAATAATGTTAAAGATACTACATACCAACAGCATGCTGTTCCACGGGATCTAAGAAGCGTCCGATCATGTTCTCATCGACCTCGTCTCCGGAGCCCTCTTCTTCAGTTTCCTTCCTTCTCAGAATACATTTGGTTAATGATGGCCACTGACAAGTCTGGAATTTGTACATCACGTATTTATATTCTAGTACATACAGACGTCTGTAAACGAGCTGAGGCAGGGTACCTAATGGTAAGTGGCGACTACTGGCCATGGGCACCTGCTATTCAAGAGTCCTAATCTCCTTCTCCTCCCCAGGATCAGGAGGCTTCGGTAACCTCACTCACTTCCGGATGTCTTAATATCAGCAGTTCCCGAATCCCTCCTATTACAGGCTCAGAGTGGCACACCGTGTGGTTTTAGTCGGTCCGATTCCGACACACCACCCCGCCGTAAACCACGGTGGGGTGACGGCCCGAGGCGTTTCCACGCATAAAAAAAACCGTACTCACTTGGTGAAAAGTAACGAAACAACTACTTAACACCGGTTTTCTGTGAGGCCGTGGTATAACTCCGGTCGAGCCTGCCCCTATTAATAGATTATTTTTTCTTCTATATTTTGTATAATGCACATCTGTTATCTTTTTAACTCCAGCTGTAACTGGACAATAATTACAGTGGGATATACGTGCTTTTTAAGTAAGTTCTATAGTATCTGTAAAGACTGCAATGCAAAACGATTTTATGACCCAAATGAATAAATAAAACAATTTCATGAAGCATAAAGAGACAATTCCTTTCTAAAAATCATACCTGTATGTGAAAAGCGAAGATGGTCGTGGGAGGGCATGAGAATTCAACTTCTCTGCCATGAGTGCACATGTAGAATTTAGTACAATCAGTGTGGTGTGGAAGCAGCAGAAAGACCTACGAATCAACAAATCAATCAAAAGTATATTTCACAAACATACATAAAACTGAGACAAATAACATACAGACTCGGAACAACAATTTGTGGATCACACAAAGTGTTGTCCCAAGTGGGTATCGAAACCACAAAACTCAGCTCAGTAGGAAGTGGCGAGGTGACTGCCTAAAACACTACGCCATCCGTACAGCATTTTTTTTATTACAATTTAGTTACATGTAAAAGCAAGCTTAAGACTGCCGTGCCAATCCAATATATTGTAACTTTTGAAAACGACTTTTGACTTTGAAAGCTTTGTTACAGTTTCTTACCATGTTAAACCCATAATTTCAAAACAATACAGTATATTTTAGATTATTGTCTCTTCTAAAATACACTTTAGAATAACAAAAGTGTTGATCAGTTGTACTAAAACGACGTAAAGAGACTGATTGAGCTTTGTTGAGGCAAAACACTGTAAGTGGAGTTACAGTCTTTTGGATTGGCACGGCAGAAGATTTAAACTCCTACTAGGGTAGATAATTAGCTTCTTATTAAACGTCAAAACCATAAGCACTTCACATCTTTGTAAAAAATACAATGTCGTGGCACAATACTTTGCCTTTGTTGATTGCAATACTTTGCCATTGTCAAATTATTAATATTTAATGTTCGGTTTAAAGATATCAAACATTAAATTGATAATGCAGGACAATTCAGGCTGTTCTTTAAGACATTTAAACATCATCATCTTCTAGTCCACTACTGGACACAGGCCGCTCCTTAGAAAGGGGTTTTTGGCCTACTATACCACGCTGGCTAGACGGGTCGGTATAGGGTTTGTTTCAAATTTTCCTTCTCTTTGCAGTGCTGTTGTCCTGCGTTTAGGTTAAAGGTTGTTGATGATTATGATGAAGATTCGTTTAGTTATATTAATTTTCAATTTATATTTAGTACACTTACTCGTCCAGCAGGGTCACAACTGTAATCATTGGGGTCTGCATTACTGGGTAACAGTGCTGATGCAGAAACAACTAAAGTCAGAGCAGCAATGATTATTTTTTCTGTGAAAGAAAAAGATTTTAATATAAATAGAATGTATTTAATCACTGCCAAACAAAACAAAAAAACTAAAGTCGACTAGTTAGAGAGCCATCTACGAACCATGCCTAGGAAACTTATTTGAAATGAAATTACATTATCTCCATAGAGGGCGTCGTGTTCCTGACTCAAAATTAGCTAAATAAGTCTGTTTAAAAGTAATATTTAGAGTTTTATGCTTCTCTTAATCTAATAATATCAAAAATATATTTAAAGTAAAGATAGATTTACTGCCAAATTAATTCAGAAATAATTAAAAAAAAAACAGAGTTCATGTTCTGGCACCAAGGCTTTTGGCAACTCATAATCCTTTATGATCGAGGAAACAAACATGATAACAAAAGTGTAAACATTAGACAAGGAACGCTATCTTTAATAAATCCTACTGACACAACTAGTTGTATATTACATTCATAATTTTACTTAGACATGTTCTTTCTAATCGAAAAGTTGCATCTAATGTATTTTTATATCATCAACAACATCGTTAGCTGTAGTCCTTTATAAACTCATTTTATAAAAACGGAAGAGTTAGTAATCATTAAACTTAATTTTATTGTAGGTGTGTTTAATTAAAATAATAGTAGTAAGTGTAGACACTATAAAAAAAAACACAGAAATGGTTGTTAACGTTTAGTTATTGTACCATATAGAGCAACACGGTCCGCCGGTTGCGGCCTTATGTTGTACAATGAACGATTTATTTAAGAGAAATATTTTTAAAGAAAGATAATTAATAAAAATATTTAATTTAGACAACATTCATTTCTATTACAATTATCAGTTATTTAATTAACTAAAATATTTTATAAGTAAACAAAACTCTTTAAAAGCCATAGCTTTTAGTGATGCTAATTACATTTTAAATCGATAAGATAGCTTAATATCCGGGTTGTATGTAATTGACTAATCGCTTAAAAGGATTCGCCGGAAATGCGACGTAAAAGCATAGTAATTCTAGGTATTAGATATCAATACATCCCTAATGTCAAGCCTACGTCGACTATACTAGGTCTACATATTTTAATACTAATAATAAAGTTTATTTCCAACATAGTTCGTAGTTGCAAAAAAAAATCGGTTGTCTGTAAAGTCGGTTTACTGACGATAGTTGAACGTGACAACGTCATAAGAAAATACTGATGGAATGGTTGCATTTTTCAAAAATGTATTATTGTATACGAGTAGCAGCTGTCCACGCGGACGCATCGCTCACTCAAGTAGGAGAGAGACAGATGTCGAACGCTGCCGAACGTGGAGGCCGATTGTGCCTCTTTGTCATTCGTTCCGCGCTCTCGCTTGCACTTCACGCTTCACTTCACTTCACTTAAATGGAACGCCTCAGAGCGAGGTAACGCCGCATGAGTCATGTTTTTTCGTGCGTGCAGCCGGCTCCATCGAATTATAAGACGTTGTCACGTCAAAAAATGTTTACAAAGACCAAATATCAACCAGGTACATTGTGTATGTTTGTAATCATTCACTATGTTCACTACAAAAGGAGCCCTGTCACTTAAACTAGGTGAAACCTGTTACTTAAGCAACAGTGTTCGGTCGATCGAAGTTCCTTATTGATATTGATATCTTCGAAAACACGAGTGTAAAATATCATTGTAAGGGTGTGTATGTATGGTGGTATGTGTTTAAGAATGTTTCTGTGTGTGTGTATGTGTATTGTTCGTTTTGGAGAGAGTTTTTGGAAAGTGTCTTAAGAATTGTATGTCAGTAGTTGTTCTGTATTACTTAGTCCTGCTTTTTTTATCTCAAATTTTTGAAAGGCATTTCAACTTTGATCAAAGTATTTTATTCGATTCTTTGATTAATTCCAAATATGTATATAATGTATTCTACTGAATTCACATAACAATCTTTGCTCTTGCAATAATTTAACAATAGGTACTTTCCTCCATAAAATTAAATGATATTTCATTTACCTTGTTATCTGTTACATGTATGATTCGTACAAGTAATACATTTATTAAATTCTTATCAACACACATTAAGTTCCTCAATATTATCGAGATATTGATTTTGATTAGTATGAATGCGTAGTACATCACTACTTACGTCAAACCAAATGTAACATTTTTGTATCACCGTTTTGGTATTCTGATGTTTTTCGAGTGTTTTGTTTATAATGTCTTCATCGGATTCTGAAGATTGTTACGGCAATATCGCCCAAAAACTACAATCACTGAAGAATCAATACGTAGAAGAGAAAATCCCTTCTGTAGATTTGGTAGACTTCGAAAACAGTGATTTGAAATCAACGGCGGAAATAAACACAGGCACAATAGACGTAGAAGACTTTAATACAACTTTAAATAGCACAGATAACGAAGAATGGACGCTGGACGCCATAATAGCGAAGAACACTACTGCCAAACGTGGTCGTAAAAGAAAGACAGCCGTTTCGTCTGAAACTATAGTCCCCAGTAAAACAAAACGAAAAACTGCTAATTCAAATAAACAAACCGACAGTACTGTCGTTACTAATGAAGATACAGCAGATATAGACGACAGTGGACCTGTGACTGGTAGAAGAGGAAGAAATAGTCGGTTAAGAAACAATTCAAGTGCTGTACCTAATACTTCACCAAGAGGAAGGCGAGGCAGTTCCAGAAGGTCTACTACTAACAGAGGCAGAGGTGGAGGTAGAAATAGACGAAATAACTCTCCAAGAGTGTCTGCACCAGTCACTACTTATCCTACATACAGTATCGGAAACACCGATGATTATCCAGATGAGTGTGGTAACCAAGAACTATTTTCAACGAACCCAGCTAAAAGTAATGAAGTCGAAATCGTAGACGACGAAGATCCTTTAGCCAATGATAATGAAGAAATGTCCGTTAAAGTTTATTGGCAGAGTTTGGAGGTGGTCCGTTTCAAAATAAGAAAATATCAGAAGTTAAAACCGATATTTAAATATTTCTCGGAGAGAGAAAATGTTGTTTTAGATAAGTTACTGTTTATGTATAATGACAGGATAGTTAAAATTGATGATACACCGGACGCAATAGATTACAGTATAGCAAAGTTTATTGATGGTGGAATTGTTGAGCGAAATGTTACAGGACTGATTAAAGAAACCAGTGAAGAGTTACAAGACGGGCTCAGAATAAAGTTTCAATGTCAACATTTAAAGAAACCGTTTGAAACTACGATAAGACCGGACGACACATTTGGGCTGGCTATGATGAAGTGTGCAGAACACTTGGAGACTCCATTAAATAGACTGAAATTTTTCTTTGATGGAGATTTAATATCAAGTATGTATATTCATTTCATTTTTTTTTTCTACCACATTCACACAACGCCATCTAGTCCCAAACTACTGCAGAGCTTGTACTATGGGTACTAGACAACTGATATAAATACATATATACTTTTTTTTTGTAAATACATGCATATTATACATGCATATTATTAGAGCCGACTAAGGGAGCAAACTAGGCAGGACAAAAGCACTGCAAAGAAAAGGAAAACTTGACACAAATGCCAGCGTGGTATAGTTTTTTATTTTTTCTTTTAAAAAATACAACGCCCGCATTAGGAATAAATCCTGTGTCGCGGGGGACTTTACAAACATACATGAAACGGACACAAAGAACACCCAGACTCAGAACAACAATTTGTGGATCACACAAAGTGTCGTCCCATGTGGGGTTTGAACCCACAACACTCGGCGTAGTAGGAAGCGGCGTGGCGACCGCTTAAACCACTACGCCATCCGTGCAGTCGAAGTCGAAGTAAGCCAAAACCTCCTTTCTAAGGAGAGGCCTATGTCCAGCAGTGGACTATTATAGGCTGTTGATGATGATAATGAGTAATGGGTGGCCCATTGTAACGGTGCATTTCGCACCATTACCGTAATTTTAACCTTAGTCTCGTTTTTGTTTTGTTAGGTTGAATTTTTTGTCGTTTCTGCGTGTGCCGATGGTCGAGGGGCGGACGAGAGGAATAATCGATGTAGTTCGCCCGCGATTAGTTAGTCGATTTAGTTTTTCTTGTCCTGGCAACATTTTTTTTCCCCGCTCTAAGCATCGACAAGCTTTTGCTCTGGCAACACGTTGATCACTTTTGGACTGATCCAAGGTCATCGGTATGTGTTTTTGTTATATTTTTCTTGGCGACGTGGCATTGAATACTGCAGGTCCCTAAGGGGTGTTATTTTTATTAGAGAGTAGGTCAATGCTATGTCTACCTTTAGAGTTTATTGTTTTGTCTATTAAGTCTTTATGCGACTTTGTTTAAAAAACCTATACAGGTCCCCAAAGGGGTTAATTTTAATTAAGGGAGTAGGGCGTTGCTACAACTACCCTTAAACTCTTTTCTTTTTGGGTCTTCATGTGACTCTTTAAAACTTATTTAACCTTATATTTTTCTTATTGGAAAGGATTGCATTAATGACAGTACTAATTTGTGTATAAGAATTACCTATTGTAATTAGAGACATAAGACACATTGTACTCTACAGACATTACGGGATAATAAACTGCCACTAGAACTTAACATCTTGTATTCATTAGCTGCCTCCCGCCTTGTTTTAAAAAGGTTCAAAGCTGGCTGAGATGTCCGAGGTATTTGTTGTGTTTGTGGTGGGTTCTGTGTTCTTTTAAGGTGGTATCTGGCGCCCGAGACTTTTATTTTGTTATTTTGTTTCTATTTGATGCCACCAATTTAGTTTTATTTTCTTTAAAACAGACCCACAACATATAAATATAATTTTTTTTTATTTTTTATTATTACACCATAGATTATTTAATTCAAACTTTATGCACTTTTGTACATCGGCGGACTTAATGCCCAAGGCATTCTCTTCCAGTCAACCTTTGGGTGGTGTAGAAATCTTATAAGGTACACAGAGGTTACATATTATTACATGTAATCAATGAAAATATACACGGTTCACTACATACATATATGTATATATACACACATACAACACCCACGGGATGGTTTACTCATATTTGTTATATTAATAATTATAAAAGTTTAACTTTTTAATTTACTTTTTTTCTAGGTAAAACTACAGCAGAAGAGCTGGACTTGGAAGGTGGTGAGTGTATTGATGTCAAAATTGGGAGCTGATAATAAATAATCATTTTAATTGTACATAAAATACATACTTTTATTTATTAGTAAACCCTTAATCTAAGAAATTAACCTTTTATGTCAGTGACCGGCTTGACTTTAACTATCTTGGTATGGATTTTTACACCCTTATATTAGCTTCACTTGTATGTTTGTTTGTAACCGACTCCTTTGGGCATGATTTTGACTGACTTTAAACGGTCAGAATCCATTCAGATTTGTAGATATATCGAGGACCGATGACAATACACTAATTAAAAAATATAAATATATATATAAAAAAAATAGTTTAAAAAAACTAAAAAACACGCTTTTTATAGAAAACCAAAGTAAAAAATAGAAATAAGAAGAGTTAGGTGCCTGTTGTCAATAGTAAAAATCATACCACGCTTTTTTCAAATTTATTTTAGTTTTTTAAAACTATTATTTTTTTACTATAACAGGTGCAAATGTAGTGATCCTCACTACATTTGCCATTTACCTGAGCCAGAAGTGATTTCCACACCACATCTGTGTTTGATTTCCACTCAAGATAAATAACTGTGTGATGATCTGGACCTTTGTAGAATAAATATCTATGCAAATAAATAAAATTGAAGTGTCTGTTTGTAATGTCAAATAATAGGTTTTTTTCATGCTCACACGGTTATTTGCACGATACCTATGCCTAAAAACCAGTTTAATTTTTTTGTCAGTCTGGACCGATTTTGATATTGGAACGAAGTTCCTTATCGCGCGTTGTGAAAGGGGGCTAGACGGAAAAAAAATCACGAAAAGTTGTAACGACACTTTTTATTTTGAATTGTCACTTGTCAGTCATTCAGCGCCATCTATCGAATAGATAGGGAATCATTACTTTTCATCTCAGTAAAATTAAAATTTATGTTCTTAGGTTGAGCAAAAAATATTGTATTCGACATCATTTCTCAAGGAGATTTTACCAATGTATAAATCGTTTTAATTAGAAACCAACTGAAAAATATGTAGGTAATAGCCGCTTTCATAGATGACCTTGTAATTAAAATCGTGTCGAATCAGTTTTACTCGATCGTCACAACTTCGTTCCTATCGGGTGTCCCACGACACCACACGGTTTTTTTTATATATCTTAAGTTATTTCTGTGAATCTTGAAATTTATCTGTTATTATTTGAACCAGAAGTTAAGAGTTAAGAGACCGTATGGTGACGGATTAAGAATACGAAGTATCACCATTAGACATATTACAAAATCACAGTAAACTGTGATTTATCATTCGAGTTTTGCGTACGTAGGTTAGGGTTGCTAGGTAGGCAGGTTAGTCGCTATTTAACAGTAAACCTAGTTTTTTTTTTACTAACTGTCTTGCAAGGAGCAACTTAGGCTATTATCCTCTCAGAAAAACCCTTTAAAATTTTGCCCGGTCCGGGAATCGAACCTACTAAGGAAGCGCTTTTCAAATTCCACGCGAATGAAGTAGTTCCAGCTAGTCTATAATATATAAAGACAGGCAGGCAATTGAAACAACTGATAAAAGCCTGTATCCTGAGAGATTCCTATTAGTTGTTCTTCTTGGATTTAATTACATATCTGTCGAGTTATTATTGATTCGATTGTGTGATTCGATTCGATTATTGAGTCGATTACTTGCAGACTGATCGGTCTTAGCAGACTAGATATCCGAATAGTTGCAGTAACCATAACAGGACACCTAACCCTGAACCGACAACTATTAATCATTAATGCGACGGACAGTCCTCTTTGATGAGGATGCCTGAAAGCAGAAGAAACAGCCGCCCACGTAATCCTGGAATGCGAGGGACTTTTACCCATAGGGGCCACATATCAATGAAACGGGATTGAAATTATTATAATTGCATATATATTGGTAAAGTGTTAAGTGGAAAAAAAAGCTAGGTATAATAATAATAATAATAATAATTTATATGGATGATTTGAAACTACTAGCCCCCACCAAATTACAATTGTCAGCGTTACTAAAGGTGACGGAAAACTTTAGTAATTCTATCAAAATGAAATTTGGTGTAGACAAGTGTGCAGTCACATATGTAAAGAAGGGTGAGATAGTAGAATCTGAAGGAATAGAGCTTTCTGATTCAACAAAACTCAGATCTCTGTCTGCCACTGAAACTTACAAGTATTTGGGTATATCACAGTCGTTAGGCATACCAGAATCTGACATGAAACAAACGTTGCAGGAACGCTTTTATGGCCGCTTGAAAAAAATACTTAAAAGTCTTTTATCAGGGGGCAACAAGGTGCGAGCCTGCAATGGTTGGGTCATGCCGATTCTGATGTATTCCTTTGGTATACTTAAATGGACTCAGACCGAACTAGATGCCCTTGATAGGAGAGTCCGTACATTGCTGACTGCATTTCGAATGCACCACCCACGTTCATCGGTTATGAGATTGTATATCCCGCGAAAGCTAGGGGGTCGCGGATTATTAAATATCAAGACCCTACACAATCGGGAGATATGCAATCTCAGAGAATATTTTCTACATACCGATGTGGGAATGCATCGCAATGTAGTTGCAGTGGATATCGGATTCACCCCGCTCGCTCTGGCTAAAGAGAATTGGAGCAAACCTGTAGTATTTAGTACTAATGATCGTAGGGAAGTATGGAAGGGCAAAGAGCTCCATGGCCGGTTTTATCGGGCCCTAAACGGGTCCGATATAGACTTTAAAGCATCTACGACTTGGCTACGGTATGGTGATCTCTTCGGAGAAACTGAAGGTTTTGTTTTTGTGATTATGGACGAAGTTATCATGACGAATAACTATCGGAAATATATCCTGAAAGATGGTACGGTTGACATCTGTCGGGCATGCCACCGTCCTGGGGAATCAATCAGGCATATCATTTCTGGTTGTTCTCGTCTTGCTAACGGTGAATATTTGCACAGGCACAACCAAGTAGCCAGGATTGTACACCAACAGCTTGCCCTTAAATACCATCTTGTGAATCTAGAGGTGCCATACTACAGGTATGTGCCCGACCCAGTTCTCGAGAATGGTCGGGCCACGTTGTATTGGGATCGATCTATTATCACAGACAGATAATTGTTCCGATAGTCGTATCTGCTCACGGATTGATAGCCAAGAGCCTCGACCAACACCTTAAGAGGCTCACGTTGGACGGCTGGATCAAGGGTCTGATACAGAAGGCAGTCCTCCTTGACACGGCTCGTATAGTGAGGAGGTTCCTATCTTTGCAGTCCTAACCACTGGTGTCTTGGTACCTGTACCCGATGTCGGTGGTCTACTATTTTTTATATTTTTAAATGTATTTTTATTTCTTTTGTAATATATATAAAAATGTAATTAATATGTATATATAACTAGCTGACCCGCGCAACTTCGTCTGCGTCGCTCAATAGTGATAAATTTTCTCCGTTTTTGAAACATTCTTCATTGGTGCTCCGCTCCTATTGGTCTTAGCGTGATGATATATAGCCTATAGCCTTCCTCGATAAATGGGCTATCTAACACTGAAAGAATTTTTCAAATCGGACCAGTAGTTCCTGAGATTAGCGCGTTCAAACAAACAAACAAACAAACAAACAAACAAACTCTTCAGCTTTATAATATTAGTATAGATTTAATAAAGAGAATAATAATAAAAAGTATTTTTATCAACATTTTGGTTCACATCAATCATCATCACATCAACAGCCTTTAATAGTCCACTGCTGGACATAAGCCTCTCCTTAGAAAGGAGGTTTTGGCCTACTATACCATGCTGGCCAGACGGGTTGGTATAGGGTTTGTTCCAAGTTTTCCTTCTCTTTGCAGTGCTGTTGTTCTGCGTAGTTTTTCCCTTAGTCGGCTCTTACGACACCCACGGGATGAATAGGGGCGGTGACACTCTGTATTCTTAATCCGTCACTTAACCCTATCCCGGGACAAGCTGCAGACTGCCCCCCGTCAATCGCTTAACGCTAACCCTATCCCGGGACAAGCTGCAGACTTCCCCCAGTCAATCGCTTAACGCTAATTGTAATTTATCTGTAATATATAATTTCTTCTGTGTCTGGGTACACCCAGTGATGATGATGAATTGATCGTACTCATCACACAAATATTTGTCCTAGGTAGGAATAGAACTCACGACCTCGGACATAACCGTCAGGGTCACTAACCTATGCATCAACAGGCCCGGTCTGAAATGCCTAAAAATGGTAATAATGTACCTTTTGTATGTCAGCAGACATGAAAAGGTAGATTTGGTTTTAAGTAGTATTGGCGTCAGTTTATTTTTAGGCGCTATGATTAATGATACGACTATTACTGATATACATCATTATTATACTTAATTTTCAAATCAACAACTTACGAGTACTTAAGATTAGATATACTAAACGATAAATAGGTGATAACATTAAAATGTCTTTCTCGTATTTTTTATCTACATTCAAGTAAACTTGGTTTGCAAGATTTTGTTTTGAGATTTAACAGGGTTTCGACGTAGTGTGTATTCCCTTTACATTGGACATCCCATAGGAATCTATAGCTGAAATCTGTATATTTTATAATAACACTTAACGGAATCAATTTAGTGAAATTTATTTGCATATAATTATTAATAATCACGTTATCAAAACAAAGATATAAGAATCTGATGGTATGGTGTTCCTCAGGGCAGTATGTTGGGCCCGAGTCATACGAGTGTACCGATCAACTAATAGGCTTGTGTCCATTAATTACAAATTGCTTGGTTTATAGTTTCAAATTATAAATGAAGAGACATAGATAAGAACGAGTCTATTTCTCATAAAAGTTAAAGATTATTAATATTATTTTTTTAAATAAACTCGAACAAAATAGGCATTAAGTCACGTGACAATCACGCAAAACATCGTTGTTGTTGTTGACGTTTTCATACAACAGAGCAGGTTACTCCTTATTGTTTTTCGTTTTTAGCATATTTTCTCACCTTAATACAGTTTCAGTTGACACTGGACACAGATGTAAACAGTTTTGTTTCGCAGAC